AAACAATCGGCCACCGGCGCTTCTGCGTTTTCTGCCATGGCAAACAACTGGCTTGCTGTGCAACAAAAACATCATCATCCTCATCGACCTGGCCAACAACAATGGGGCCTATTAAACTTGAATGCGTCACGCATGCTTGCTGGTTCTTTTGCCTTAAGAGCTCCTCCCTCCTTTACTCTCTTCTCGTTTCTCCTGCCTTTTTCATCGGCTCAACAAGTTTTTGCATTTGTCTCGGGCACGAGCGCATTATGCTGAAAACTTTGCGAAAAACTTGGGACGACAACATGATTAACAGACAAATGACATTACAAAGCCTTTCACTTGGCGACTTCTCCTCACTTTGGAAAGAGCTAAAAAAAAAAGCGAAAAAAAAACTGCATCATCGCCTTGGTGCCTTTCTATTTCCCAGACAATGAGCTGGCTTTCAACGAGATCTGGAGAGGAGGCCCTTCGCGAATATGTGGGGGAGTCTCGGTCCCGGGGCGGAATGCGCAAATCAGGTCTTAACCCCTTTTCTTTCATCTGCTTAGCCGTCTGCTCTGTCTGCAGTAACTTGAACTTTCAGTGAGCCGTGCAGCTGGCAAGAGTAATGAGCAGGCGAGTATCTTATGGATTTGTCGCTGACTTTGAAGTTGGCTTTTTTGCTGGCCCGTTCGTTTCCTCGTTCGTTCGCCTCGTCTCCTGAAAAGTTGAGCTGTGCTGATGCATTTACTAATAGAAATTTTAAATTTAAATGCCAGCGTTTCTTGCACCCATCCGTCGCGGCTGTGCACTTGAGCACTTGCAGCTCGCCTTCGGCGGTTTGCACTTAACGCCGAGGCGTTACAGCGTAAGCAGCTTCGAGATATTTTCAACTCACTGCGGCTCGAGTGCTTTCGACTTGGACCCATCCTCTGGCCCTTCTGGAATTTTGATGCGCTTTGGCAAAAATTCTACAGAAAGTGTAAGCCATAAATAATGGAGGCGGACTTAATGAATTCATCCGAGCAGCCAAAGGATGTCTTAACCTTGCGATGTTTGTGCATAATTAGCTGGAGCAGCAATTCCTGGAAGATGTTCTACATTTATCACTGGGTTATACAAAGTACAAAGCAACATTTGTTCATTTATACATGATGTTTATGGCAGGCCCTTTGATAATTTTAGCCCTTAAGGGACACTACAAATTTTTTTATAATATAAGTTGTTTCAGTTTATTCACTGTTGTTTTATAAAAGTGTACTATGTGCAACTATAATTTGAGATATTTTTGTATACTGACTGCACTGAGTTCTGCCAGCCATTGTATCGGACAGACGGTCTGTCTGCCACATTGCCAATCACATATATTGAACAGTTTCCAATTTTCCGATATTAAGACCCGCTTAGAGACTCTTCACTCGCCGCCCCCCAAAACACATCTTGAGATGGAGAACACAGATGTTTACTTAAAGCTCCGGTTTGGCAATACATTGGCCCATCTGGCTGGCTATATAAACATGTCCCGACTGCCTGTTCACCAAAGTGTTGGAGGCGATGCCTGTAAAACCAGAAACATGGGGCCAAAAGACTTGGAAAAGTTTTTGGGGGAATTGAAATCCTTTGGCAAACAACGAAGCAACCGCACACATATGCGCACACATATTGGGTTGGAGGGGAAAATGAAACATTGCCAGTGCAGTGGTATACAAAAACCGCACTTGGCCAGACTTTCCGTTTCCTAGCAGCTCGGAAATGGAAAATGGTCGAAGGACCTCCCCATTCACTTCCTCTTCAGCCGCACTTCACATGCGTGTAAGAACTTTTCTCAAGCATTTGTAAGTTTTTAATAAGAAATTGTTAAACAACTTGTTCTGGTTTTTTTCTCTCTCGGTTCTCTTTAGGACTTGGCAAGGCTGCTGCCTCTTGGCAGAAACTGTAGTAATTAGTCATGTTGATTGATGAACGTTCGCTGCGAGTGTGCGAGTGTACAATGTGTATGTGCGTACTGCCAATTTTAGTCGTAAATCCTCCTGCTGTTGCGTTTTTGTATGGCAAAAATTAATTTAAAGGACGAACAATATGTCAACGCCATTTAAAGACTTTGGCATTGCCGTAATCCCGACAGTGGGAGCATTAAGAAAACTTAACCATTAAATGGTTGCTTCCTGCAGGCATCCGAAAGCCAATTTTCCAAGAGCAAGCTGCGGGCGGTGCGACTATTAAACATCAGTCTTACACACGCCAAAACACTCGGTGGGTGAGTGGTGAGTGGTTCCCCGAGAAGGCTTACATTGTGTACTCCTTGGGTGGGCAATAAAAATCCAAGGTGGTTGGAAGGCAGGAAGGAGCTTCATCCTGGAAGGAGTCCTTCCCCAAAACTCAACCCACACAACCTCATCATGCCATGCCTGCGGTTGTAATTTAGTGTGCCTAATGAATTTAGTACCGTTACATACCGGAAGCGAGCATGTGAGTGCAAAAATGCGCACTCGACTGGAATGTCTGTGAATCTCCATGTGTGTGTGAGTGAGTGTGTGTGTGTGTGCGGTTACGTGCTGGTATTGGGGGTTTCCCCCATCCCCCCGTCTATCCTGTGCCGTTTCAGTGTGAAAATGTGTGAAAAATCTGCGCTGTGGCAAAACTTCGTTAACCTTTATTAACGACACGAAGGAGAGCGTCTAATTAAACAAGACAAAATTTTAAATCGAGCGTAACGCTTACACACAGGTAGCTTCATAATTTCCTAGCATGTGTGTCTATGTGTGTGTGTGTGAAATGAGCAATTATTTTTAATTGCCTAGGCGGGATTAAATTGGGTGCCAGGGCAGGATTCAATTAATTGGCAGGACCCAGAGCAAAGGCAACACTTCTGGCCTGATTGCCCAGAGTAAATGTTGGCACTGCTTTGGCAAGAGGGTTCCGCTCGAGGCGAGATGTCAACAAACGGGGCACAATTCGCCCCAGATTAGATTGCATAAACAAAACGCGCTCGGGATATCAATGCGGATTGAAGGAGCCCAGGTTTCAGGCTCCAGGTTCCAGCTCGTTGCTGGATATTTACACGGCCAGCGTGGCATAAAAGCGAAAAGTAATTTTCCTAAGTGAATATAAATGTTTAAAATCTTGCCAAGAAAAGCAGCCAACAGCGGCAGCAACTACAACAAGAACAACAAAGCGCCGAATGGCTGGCTGACTTGGCTAAGAAAATTTAAAAGGCAAAACACTGTGGCCCATGGTAGTTCAGTGAAACGAGCGCACCACCACCATCACCACCACTCATTGGGTGAAAAGTGCTTAAAGTTTTATGCGAAATTGAAGTCGGGCAGCAGGAACATGCTGCAGCGTTCCAAAAACAAGGTGTTGGATTCCCGCTCCTGTGGACCAACAAAGCGTGTCTACTCTGCCATTTAATGGCTTAAGGGGATATCTGCAATCTGATGGCTGGCAAACACTTAGCACACACAATGCCTTCCATTTGCAATAACTATTATCATAAGCATTCAGCAATATTTCGATAGCAAAACACTTTTTCAAAACAAATAACCTGTCTATCACTTTTCCAATCAAAGTTTCTCATGAAAAATCCAGACGCTTAAAGTAGCCAGCAGATGCAGATTTTTCGGTTGGCCAAGTTGATTAAATTTTGTGAGCCAACAAAGCGCAACTAAGAAGCGGGTCTGAAAATCAATATAATCTTGTCAGCCAGGGGGCACGCGGCAAAATTTCATCATTGTTCGGTCCTAATTAATGAGGAAAAGTCACCAATTTGAAAATCAAATTACGGCGCGCATAATTAAATTGCCTTATCAAAATTTCATTCAAAAGCGTCTGTCAGAAGGCCCCGAAAAATACGAGAGTTTTTTCCTCGCCACGACGGCCAGGGACAGTTGACAGTAAATGCAATATGGCCTAAAGTTGCCTTTTTTGGGTAGCGACAGCTAGAAGGCCAAAAAACTTTTAATTGAATTCCTTTCAAATTGTTCGTAATGGGCACAATTAAATTGTCACCATCAGATTGAGAGAGAGGACTTCAAGAAGGAGCAGAGTGACAGACTGTCCGACAGACTAACTAACTGGTAGCTCAAGTTCCAGTGGTGGAGAGCTTTAGCAAAAATCTCGTATTATGCTGCACTCGAGCGCATGACAAATTCATTAAATGCACAAAGACCGTAAAGTGCCCCACTGTCCACAAGGAGCAACAGGACGAAGATCCGAACAAGGAGAGCGTTTTACAAAATTTTATACACTCCCTGACCGTAATTACACCACACAGCAGAACAAGGGGAGTCGGGATTACAGGGTATGTTCCGGCAGGACGATGGAACAGTAGTTGGGCGTGGTTTCGAGGTGAGCCAACCATGAAATGCAACATGGCCCAGGATGCGAGGAGCAAAAAGGATGTGTGCTCGTGCCATATTTATACACGGATTGTTGCCGCTGCTAGGTGTCGCCGTCTGCATGTGTGTGTCCCTCTTTTTTTTCTTTTTGATTTTGTGTTGCCCAGGAGTGGGGATTTTCCGCCCCACAGCGTCCGCACTCAAACTTAATTCATTTTCAGCGTACACACGGCGTATGCGTGCTGCTAATGAAATATTTTGAACGGGCTGTCAAAATTTCTGACTCGCGCTTAATTAACTGTCCCTGATTAAGCCGCATTCAAAAGACTTTACGCACCGCCGTGTAATGAGCACTTTTGCCAAGCTTTATTCCATTAAGGAATGCCAAATGTTTGTGCTCCCTTTTATTTCGCTTCCATATAATTACGTAAAAGTTCGTTCCGCCTCCGAGTCGCCGCCCTTTCATTATATCTCCAACATTTTCGGTATGGCTTGTCATTTTCATAATGACAAATGAAAAATCTTCGAAAGAAGTTTACTTTGCATTTAAATTATATTAATTATGGTGCATACACCAAGAGAACATAAAATATTATTTTTAAATTATTATGAAACGCAAAAGGTCGAAGGTTTTTAAGCTTTTTATTATTACCTTCCTTACGCACGTTCGTTAATTGTTATATTTAATTTATTTGCTTTCAGTCCAAACAAACAGTAGAGGAAACATAAAAGGAGGCCATCATGGGTCAACTAAAAATGGCTTATGAACTGGGTGTGCTCCTGCTGATCCTGCACCTATTAAATTGGCCAGGATCTGAGGCGTCCTTCGGCCGGGATGCGTGTAACGAAATAAGCATGGAAAAGAATTGTCATTGTATTTTCAGTGTGATGTCAGAATATGAGATCCACTGCCCGGCGAACACGGAGTATCCCACATTCAGGCTAAACATTCAGCCCAATGATTACGTGCAGATTGTTTGCAATGTGACGGACACCACGGAATACCAGCGGTTGCCTAAGAACATGCAGATCGGCGAGGTAAACAGAGTCCAAATGCGACGCTGTATGCTGCCCGGCCACAAGCCGATCGCCAGTATTCTGGATCACTTGGGCATAGAATCCCCCAAAACGCTGATCTTCGAGAGCGACAACCTGGGCATGAACATCACCCGCCAGCACTTGGATCGCCTGCACAACCTTCAGCGATTCCGGTTCACGGCCCGACGACCCACGCACATTCCCGGTAATCTATTGGCCGATATGCGTAACCTTAGCTATCTGGAGCTGAGGGCCAATATCGCCGAGATGCCATCGCACCTGTTCGATGACCTGGAGAGCCTCGAGTCCATCGAATTCGGCAGCAATCAGCTGAGGCAGATGCCGCGCGCAATTTTCAGTAAGATGCCCAAGCTGAGGCACGTCAATTTGTGGAGCAACCAGCTGCACAACCTGACCAAACACGACTTCGAGGGCGCCTCCGCGGTGCTGGGCATCGATATTCATGACAACGGCATCGAGCAGCTGCCACACGATGTGTTCGCCCACCTCACAAATCTCACTGAGATCAATCTGAGCGCCAATCGCTTTCGTTCGCTGCCGGAGGGACTCTTTGAGCACAACAAACACCTGAGTGAGGTGCGTCTCATGAACAATCGGGTGAAGCTGGTCACACTGCCATCGAGACTATACGCCAATCTGCCGGAACTGAAGATCGTTCGGATTAGATGCGAATTGGAATCCCTGCCGGGTGATCTCTTCGAGCATTCCTCGGAAATCACTAACATCTCCCTGAGTGACAACCATTTGAGCACACTGCCCGCCAATCTGCTGGAGCACCAGGTGAACCTCCTGTCCTTGGACTTGAGCAACAATAGGCTGACCCACCTGCCGGATTCTATTTTTGAGCACACCAACAAGCTGGTGGAGCTACGTTTGGAGGGCAATCTCCTCACCAACATCAGCAGGTAAACAACATTTAAACTTAATTAGTTAGTGTTTAAGGTAGGGTTTCTGAATTAAATAAATTTAATGGAAGAAGTCAGGTATGGTTTTTTATCATATTAAAAAAATTTGTTTTTTTTTTTTTGTTGACAACCTTTCTATTATTTATTGCTAACTAATCTTTTGAATGTCTTTTTAATTACAGTGAATTATTCAGTCGTCTGAGCAACCTGGACACTCTCTATATGAGCAGAAATCTCTTACGCACCATTGAAACCCGAGCTTTTGCTGGAACCCGTCGACTTCACCACCTCCACTTGGATCACAACAAAATTGACCTGCTACAATCTTTGCTGGGCAGTTCGAGTTTGGGCGAGAACAACTCCCCGTTTGGCTACATGACCGAACTGGTGACCCTCAATTTGCGCAACAACTCGATCATTGTTATTTACTACGACTGGAATGTCGTGCTGACAAGGTTGAGGGAACTGGACCTGAGCTACAACAAAATTAGTTCCCTGAAATACGAGGATCTGCAATTCTTGTCACAGAACGATTTGAACGTCAACTTAACGCACAACAACATTCGATCGATCTCGTTGCCCAAAGACGTGGATGTTGGAGAGGAATTCAATCCGGTGCCGGTCAATCTTGATCTCAATGACAACCCCTTGGACTGCAGTTGCACGCTCCTACGGTTCGTCCAGTTGGTGAGGGCTGAACATAAGCCGAACTACGCCAAGCAGTTCAGGTTCCGCACGGATCGACTTAACTGCAGTCAGCCGAAGTCCCTGGAGAATACCCTTGTCCGCCAGGTGCACCCAAAGTTGCTCACCTGCCCGCTGGATGTATCCAATGATCCACGAGATCGCAAGTGCCCGCTCGGCTGCGAATGCTTGGTGCGCACATTCGACAAGGCTTTAGTGGTGAAGTGTAACAACGGCAACTTGACCCATGTTCCTAGATTACCAGAACTGCACCAGAACTTGGATTTGATGGAGCTCTATCTAGAGAACAACACATTGCTTAGCCTGCCCTCTGGCGACACTCCCGGCTACATGAAGGTAACTAGTCTGCATTTGTCCGGCAACAATCTCACCCACATCGATGTGGGGCAATTGCCTCCAAATCTGACGCACCTGGATGTGAGTTGGAATCATCTGGAAACGCTGAACGCCACCGTCTTGGGTTATCTCAACCGCACCATGCCATGGAACTCGATGAAGCTGTCTGGAAATCCGTGGATGTGCGATTGTACTGCCAAATCACTGCTGCTTTTCACCCAGAATAACTTCAAGCGGATCCCGGATCGCTATGAAATGATGTGCGTGAACGCCGAGGTGCCCACTCGAATGGTGGAGCTATCCACAAATGACATCTGTCCGGAGGAAAGGGGTGTCTTTATAGCCCTGGCCGTGACGATCGCCTTAGCCGGGCTTTTAGTCGGATTTACTGCAGCTCTGTACTACAAATACCAGATAGAGATCAAGATCTATTTGTATAACCGTGGACTTTTCTTGTGGTTTGTCACGGAGGAGGAACTGGACAAGGATAAGTTATTTGACGCTTTCATTTCCTATTCCAACAACGATCGGATGTTCATTGAGGACTACCTGGCGCCCATGTTGGAACATGGTCCTCAGAAATACAAACTGTGTCTGCATGAGCGCGACTGGCTGGTCGGTTCCCCTATTCCGGATAATATAGTGCGCTCGGTGGCGGGTTCTCGGCGTACCGTTATTGTGCTCAGCCAGAACTTCATCAAATCGGAGTGGTCCAAAATGGAATTCCGAGCTGCCCACAGATCAGCCCTGGACGAAGGACGCGCCCGCGTCATTGTGATCATCTACTCGGACATCGGAGATGTGGAGAAGCTGGACGAGGACCTGAAGGCCTACCTGAAGATGAACACCTACCTGAAGTGGGGCGATCCGTGGTTCTGGGACAGGCTGCGTTACGCCCTGCCTCATCGCAAGCGTGGCAGTAATATGGGCAACGGAACGCTGGTCAAGTCGGCGCTGAAAGGTTCCACAGACGACAAGCTGGAGCTGATCAAGCCGTCGCCGGTGACGCCGCCCCTGACCACGCCGCCGGCGGAGGCCACCAAGAATCCGCTGGTGGCCCAGCTGAACGGAGTCACCCCGCATCCGGCCATCATGATTGCCAACGGCAAGAACGGACTGACGAACCTCTACACACCCAATGGCAAGTCGCACGGCAATGGGCACATAAACGGCGCCTTCATCATCAACACGAACGCCAAGCAGAGCGACGTATAGGACTGGGAGAAGGCGGAGCTATTCCAGTTCGATCCCGACGATGAACTACTGTTCCGTTAGAGCGAAGCCCCGTTCAAAAGAAAAAAACCACTGCCACTGACGAGGCGGAGGAAAAACACCCAGCTGAATGTAAAAAGTCTAGAGAATATCGATTTCCCCGTGTTTTTCGGTCAAGTTAGAGTCGCCCCTTCTAGGTTTAGTTATCTTGCGCTTGTAGGAGCTCCAGGAGAAGTTAATGAAAATTTCAAATTTCAATATTTCATGTGGCCTTTGTTAAAGAAAAATGAAAAGAAAATATTAGTTTGAGTGTGGAAGGAAAAGCACAAGCTAGTTTTACCACATCACTCTGTTTTAAGTGTTATTTGTAAGCTTAGCCTAGATCCTGTGCAGACTCTTGTAGACATATAAATCTCATTTATTTAGCAATTATTTTTACATTAGGACTACTGTAAGCTGACGCAAACAAAACTGAGAATAGCTCAATGCTGAATTACCTATTGAAATGACCTGTTTTATTTGAATATTTTACTTTTGAACAGAATCTCAAGCGAATGGGAATCTGAGTTTTGAACAAATCGAGCTTTATTTCGAACTACCTTCTCTTTATTTGCTAGAACGCCACCTACTATTAAGTAGACCCATGCAATACACATATGACGTATCCAAATAGTAGTATAGACTCTGTAATTGTGAACAAAGAAAACAAAAGCAGCCGAATGATATACAAATTGCCTTCTTTGTATGTATGTATGTATGCTAGACATGTAGAGCCTAAGGATTCACCTTCAATTGCATACGACTCCCTCTCTCTCTCTGTACATAAGCTGGACGAAAATTCTTGTACTTTTCCTTATCGTATCGCACCAAATTTCCTACTCACAACTATCACGAATATCAATTGTAATCTCACGCCCATTTAAATGACGCTATATAAATAAGTACATACCGAGGGAGGACATTACTGAACGGAATACCATTATCACATCTACCAAACAATTAGGCTAGCCCCCCATTCAAATGAAAAATGAATATCGTCTATGATACGTAAATGTAATTAAGCTAAAGTATGTGTATATCGTCTAAGCTATAGATTGTCTCTGATATGTAATACCTAAGGTACCTACAAATTTATGCAGACACACTCATCTACTCGGAATGCATAGAGTAAATTAAATCTACTTGTATATTAAAAACACATACAACGCAAATAAAATATATTTTAAAAATTTAGCTCGATGCTGTTTTTATTTTTCCTTGTTGAATCGCTGAAAGGTAAGGAAAACTCCATGTTTGGTTCATATAATTTTTTGATTTATTTTGTATTAAGTTATTTAAAATTGTACATTTAGCCGCTTTAATTGTGGCTTGCCTTAAACAACTAAAACAACACAAGACGCAAACAAAAAATAAGTACAAATTGCCTTAGAATAAAATACACATTTGTTTAAAGGAATACAATACTAAATTGCAAATTGGTTAAAAAAGTAAATCACATAGTCAATGGAAGGAAGAAGCTGTCGCGCTTTGTAGATTATATATCTAGCCATCAGCGAAAATACGTTTTAAGCAATTGTCCTTGCAATTCTCTGGCGAATGCAGACCGCATTATCTATAGCTATAGGTACGGATTGGGTAGGGGAATTCCTTTACATATGAAGGGTATATAAAATATATAATTTGTATATATATGGTTCCGTTATTTGGTTTCTGTAAGTCGTCGTTGTAGCCGACGCGTATTGTACAATTTTATATCAGCAGTTCGCCCCCCAAATTAATCCTTACTTTTCTACTATTTTTTCATTTAGTTTTGTTTAGCTCACAATCAGTTCCAGTTTTCAGTTTTGTCTTTGGTGTTCTATGTTACTCACTTTGGGATCGTTCGTGTCCTTAACTAGCTACCCCCACATCCGTTCCGCCACCTTGTGCCCCAACTAATGGCTAAAAAGGCGGCCGACGACGACTTATTTTGGTTTTGGCCCACCTAAAGCAGCATGTCATCATCGCTCTCGGTGAACTCGCCATTGGGCTCCAGCAGCAGGTTGGCCTCTTCGTTGGACTGCACCTGAATCGGGGAAATACAATTTTAATTTTGATTAAGCTCATGACGAGCTCATGGCAAGGTCGAACACATATAGAAAATAGGTATGCAATCTTTAAATCCCGAAACCATACGCTTAAAGACAAGATTGCAAGGTCAAACAAATTAAAGAAATAAAAACAAATAATAAAATAATACCAACACCAAACGAAAGACATAGTCATAGGGTTTTATTTCCCTCAGAAACAGAAACTTACACGGGAGTATCTCACCGCGGAATTGCTGCGCCGGAAGATGTGACGGACGCGCTGCCTCCGCGCCGGCGAAAAGGCAACCAGGCCCACGCACGTCACACAGAAGGTCACCGACAGAATGGCCGCCAGGATGGCTGAAAGGAAGGGTGGGAAAACGGGGCGGATGAGTGATGGATGAGCCAGGCAATCAGTGGGGCCAGCTGCACTTACTGCCCACGGAGGCCGTTGGCCCGATGGGAGTAGCCGCCGGATCGGGGCCAGCTGTTGTTGTCGTTGTCGACGAGGCCGCCTTGGTTGGCTTACCCGCTGGCGATGCCGTAGTGGTGGTGCTGGTGGTGGTGGTGGTGGTGGTGCTGGAGGTGGTGCTGCTGGTACTACTGCTCGAACCACCTCCTGGGGCATCATGCTGGGTAGCGCCAAGGGAAAGGAACTCACAGATGGCCGGCGTTCGCTGCACATAAAGCAAATCGCATTGCTGGTCCTGCAACGAAGCGGATCCGTGTAATTAGAAACTTTCTTCATTACTGGGCTGGGGCGAAAAATAAATAAATAAATTGATAGGGGGACGGGCGAGTATAAATTCCAAGTAAAATACTAGTGGACCCGGGCACAAATTCGTGGTGCAACAACTGCTCGCAGCTTGTTTCCGGCATCCTGCCGCCTGGCAAAAAAAAAAAAAAAACCAAAAAAACCCTTGCTGTGTTCTGTGTGCCGTTCGCTTGTAACACTTTCACCCAAAGACCATTTCCGGCGCGACCAGCGACTGCAAAATGAAACAGCAAATGTGCGCATAATTTAAAAACTTTTGCGGCGCAACTGCAACTGGCAACCGGCAACTGCAAGTGGCGAGGCAAAAACCCTCCCTGGCTGGCGAGCTGGCAGAAACTTTCCCGTCACGGCGAGGCGCCGCACCAGACACGAACATGTCCGCGAGGAGAAGCGAGACGGGGGGGACAAGGACGAAGGACGACGAACGACGGAAGGGGGCAACGCTATAAAAAGTTTGCAGCCATTTAAAATCCCATTTCATTGAATCGCTAATTTTCCAACAGCGTCGCTGCCAGTAGCAGTTCCTGGTAGAACCGTGTACACAGCTCCTTTTTGTTGCTGCCCAAAAGTTGTCCTTCGTTGTGTATATATATGAAGTATAAATGCACAAAAACACTCAAAGAAAAACCTATGTGATGGAAACATGAATTTTATATCGATTTTTGCCAGAAAGGGTTAAATAATCTAACACACTTCCACATTCCAGTTCCTTAGTTAAATCTTCTGTTTCCTTAAAATTTCAACTACTTTAGTTTCATATTTTTGCCTATTCCTATTTCCTATATTGTTTCTGGCTGTAATAATTTAAAGTGTAGCACAGAAGAGTGCTATTTTCCGCTTTGCAGTTCAAGGATTAAAACGTGTTGGGTTCTTTAAGCGATGAGCTTTTCTCCTTCACCCTCATTTCAGTTTCCCCTGCAAGCTGACCAGAACATCTTGTTCAGCTTAACCTGTTGAGTCGGCCAAATTAGCCAGATGTATTAGCTGTCTGGAACTGGGATATGGAAATATTGAAGATCCCAGAGAGGGTGTCAAGCAATTAACATCATCGCATAATACACGCACACGAGTGGCAAACCAAACTCGGAGGCAGTTTGTTCGATTGTTGGGAGACTACTACAGTCGGTTAAAGGAGGTGGCTGGCAGGATGTGGGTTGCTCGATGTGGATTGAGTGCAGTGCGTGGACCCGGGGTGTCAGGGGCACAGCCCGCATCTGTGACACGGCCCCCCCCGGTGGCGACGGCATTTGGAAACGTTTGTCGGAGGTGGCAAACAGCTTGCAGCTGGTTTAAATTTGGGTCAATTGCCCGGTGCCACAAATGGAAAATCGAAGCCAAACAGAACGCCGAATGCGGAACGTGTCAGAGTGAGTAAAACATAGAAATTGGAGCGGCAAATATTTTCAATCAGCAGCGTGCTTCCTCCGGCGTAATTTTCGCCTAATGGACTACAATGCGGTCAAATGACAACCGTCGAGTGTTTCGGGCGTTTTTTCGGGCTGGTCGGTCAACTAACCTCAAGCTCTAATTTCAAAACGTTTTTTGGGCAGCGGGTAATGCAATTGGACCTGGGTCACTAATTACGGTGCATTGTGCTCGGAAAACAGGAGGGGAGTAATATTTTAGCAACCTGCGGTTAATTGTCGCCCAGGCAAAACAAACAATTATTAATTAGCTTAGAGAGAGAGAGTTGGGCAACTGGCTGCCATGCATGCTAATGATGCTGCCTGCTGGAGAAGCCACAACAAAGTCGAATCCTTGGTCATTAGTCAAAGTGCTGCAGGCGAATGCAACTTAATTATATTATTACACTCACACACACACAGACGAGCACTCGGTAGGAGCAGCATAAAAGGTCGGTTTGTAATTTAATTTCCTCCTGCCGGCATGGCAATCCTTGGCTAATACCACTGCCAAAGTCCAAGGGTCACGTGGTCAATAAAAGGAGAGGTCACCGATGCCAACAATGCATGCATATCTCTCCAGCTGATCCGAAATGGGGCCAGCACCTGCATCCCCTGGTGACAACAAGGACCTGAATGAACCCGGCAAACAAAAGCTCCAACCAGCAGCTAAGAGCAGGCGAAGGCATTAGACAAGAAGCAAGAAATGCAAAGCGAACCGCAAAAACACAAAATATGAAGGGACAAAGGACAAAGAAATTACGCAAAGGGCTGAAGGCGAGGAAGATGCACAACAGCCAAAGCCGATTGCCAAGTGGTAAGCATAACAAAGGACACCTGCCGCACTCCAGAACCCTCAGCTCCTGCTGCCCGAGTCCCCGCCCCCAAAGCCACCGCCCCTTCCAAGGAGGACCGCCTCCTCCTGCTGCTCCGTCAGTTGGTCCCTGGTTGCCCTTTTCCGCACACATATTTCCTACATTTTCGCTTTGAAGCCCAGGCTCTTTGCCTTGTGGCTAGACTTTGAGAACGGACCCACCGACTGCGAAGATTTCTTGTTCGCATACACAAAACGAGAAGAAAAGGAGAAAGGGTAGGAAGGATACTTCATTAAAACGGAAGTTACATACTCTTTCCTAAATAAAAAATATCTTTCTACTAATATTATAATATTAAACAATTAAACTTAGTTTGTATCTTTAGTTTAGAAGTCTTATATGATATTTCTTCAATTATCAGGTGAAATACATATTTACCCACTTTAAAACTCCATAACCTCATCCCAAACACCTGAGCAAAAGGTAATTAGCCCTCTACAAGGGTATTTAAATAAAAAAAAAGTATGTAAAATATCCCTACAGTTGCCATTCCACCGTGTTTTTCTTTGATGCGCATTTGGCAGGGCGCTGAAAGGCGTGTTACACCTTTTGTACTCCTCGGAGGAGCCAAGAATAAGCTCCAGATGCGCTGCTTACTGATTCGCCTGGAAGGATACACACACAATACTTCGTACTTACACTCAGAATGGTGCTGCTGCTCTCCGTTTGGTTGCTGCATATCAGGCGAATCTGGACGTTCATCGTTCCTGCAACGGGTGTAAACGTGATGGGGCATTAGTTTCGAGAGCACTTTAATTAGTTCAAATGAACCCAAATTCAAAACAATCTTAACCCTAATAAAAGCGTACGAAAGGCAACAGAAGCAGCAGAGACAGGCCGAAAGCCAGACTTCCGTTTTAATGGTCCAGACAAAGGATGGCATCCCCGCACTCAGTATCCTTCGGCAAAGTGGATTGGGCCTGGACACCGCAAAGTTATCGCATAAAAGCCAAAAATAATTATCACCACAGACGACAACAGAGCTCCAGCTGGTAGTCCTTGGCATCCTGCAGGGTCAGGCTGCTACTGTTGTCGGTCAAATGCGCACATTTCAATGTGGAGTGGGTGGTGAATCAAAGCCACCGGCTCCGGTCGCAAAGCCACACAAAATCTACAACTCGTTGGGATTTGGGGAAAGGCAAATGTCCTCCTCCTCCTCCTCCTCCTCCTCCTCCTCCTCCTCCTCCTCCTGCTGCTCCACCTACTTAATCCCCACCTTCACCACCCAAAAACAAAACACACTCTTCGGGTATCTGCTAACGCCTGTCACTGGGCATATTAAAATTGTCTGATCGTTTGCAGATTGCGCATTGTCGTCCCACAATGGCGAAACAGAAACAGTTTGTGCGCCACACAGAGTTTTAAAATAATACCATTTTACGGCCAGGACCGAAGACAATGGAGATGTGTCATAATTAAATCGTCGTCAGTTTTATTTGTCAAAATAAAAACTTTTTGTTTTTAATGGCAAAGTTTTAAGTGCCATGCAATGGCTCGAATAAAAATCATTGTGCGAATACAAGGCAGCTAAGCCCGGTGGCTCCGGGGAAATCTCGGCACTGGAAGCCGGATGCCTTTTAAGCCCCCACAAAAACCCACCCACCTACTGCTCCGACTGTCTGCTCTGCATGCATTAAATATTCATGCAGTAGTATCACATCAGCTAAAAAAAAATATATAGGAAAAACATGAAAAGCTCCAGAGAAAAAGAGAGATTTTCCCAAGTGAAGCGAGATTATTTTACCGCATTATCTCGTAGACAGTTTTTTCGTTTGCTAGATATTTTTGTATAATTTTTTTTCGTTTTTTTTTTTTGTCGTATAATTTCAAGCACTTTGCTTGCAGACGGACAAAAAGAATCTTAGTTAAAAAGCAAACTGCTAGGAACACAAAAACGAAATAGAAGAGCAACCACGACAAGTGGCCGAAAATGTCGCAGTTGCAGGAACGGCGCCGCTATAAAAAAAAAACAACAAAAATACGAGTGTCAGCGGCAAAAATGACGCGATAAAATGCCGCGGGGACCCAAATGGGAGGGTGCAAGAAGCGACGGCGAGGAAAGTGCATTGGGCTGAACGCCAAATCTAATGCGATTCCTCCGTTTTCGCACAAAACACCCGAAAGCGTACCGAGAACAAAAAGGCCAGCGGAAATCCAGATAAAGAAGGCAAACAAAATGGCGGCAATGCGCGCGTGTTGCGCCAGCGGAAAGGGAAGCGGAAAAGGAATCGGAACCGGAAACGGAAGTGACAAGCGACAACGCGAGCTCTCCTCGAGCTCCTTGAAGTGGGTATTCCAGGGTAAGCCGGGGATATGCAAATCGAATTAGCCGGATTGCAACGGCACAAGGACCTGGACACTCACCTTCCTTGCCGCAATTAGGCGACTCGTGTGTGAAGAATATGTTGACCAGAGCCTGCGAGTAGTCCGTCATCGCCTTGCGATGCTCTCCGCAAATGTTTACCGACATCTTCGTGGCATTGTAGTCGATCTAAAAAGGCGGTAAAAATGCAATTTAGTGACCTGGTTGAACATGCCTTTCAGCACGGCTCACCTCAAGCTTGCCGTCCTTGGTAAACGGCGCACTCTTGAAGTTGAATTGCCGACCCAGCTCATCGTGCACCAGATCACAGGTGTCCGCATTGAAGGTGCACTCGTGCGGCGGGCAAAAGACATTCGTCTCCCACTCGAAACCGTAGTCACAGTCCTCAATCGAACGCAGCACCGGTTGTCCCTAAATTGTCGGAGAGGAGAAGGGTGAAGGTAACCATTAGGGGCATGCAGGCAATTTGCAGCACAACTGGGTCTAGTGGCCCTGAAATAATCGCATATATGTTGCTGCCCACCCAGCCACTCAAAGCTGTCCGCAGAAATCGTTGCCAAAAGGCTGCTCCCTCCGCAAAAGGATCTGAATGTGGCGATTTTCGTTAAAGCTTACACATGCAAATGTTTCTTTGCATTCAATAAACTGACATTAAATTAAAATTGAATTTAACACTTATTGAAACTGTTTATACGACAATTGATAAAAATACTATAATTAAAATTCCATTCAAGTTTATCTTAACTTTAAATAAAATTATTTTATATTTTATTTGATTATTAGCAGTGTACTCACCCGACCCGCACGCATATTGCAGTTGAAAAGGATGTGCGTGGAGAGCTCGGTGGTGTTGTCCGTGGGGCAGGGATCTCCGTTCAGGTAGGCCAACTCGGCAGAGGTGCGATTCCTTTGCACCAGGGACACCAGTGGAAAGCCCATGCTCTGTGTGGGCGGGAAGAGGAGAAGAGTTGAAGTGGTGAAGGGTGGAGCTTAAAACAACCTCGGCGAAGGAGAAATGTTTAACTTTATGTCTGAGATTGCGGCAAATAACTCGAAATCCCTGTCTGAGCCACGCACACGTTCGTTCTCGTGTCGCCTGCTCCCGGCCATTTCAGCTTGTTGCTATCGTTGTTGGCGGTATACTGGCCAACCAGCATCGTATCAGTCGGACTCAGAGAGGAGTGGCCGGCCATCGATGCGATGATAACTGGCATGGCAAAGGACACGGACAACAGGACATGCCGGTCCAACTCAGCACAAACGACAATTTAATGGATAGTTCAATGGCACTCAGCACCCGACCAATGTGAACTGAAATTTCTTTAAAAGAACTTCAGGCAGATACAGTTACGCCCACTTAATTTCTTCAGTTATTCGATAAGCATTTTAAAGAAAAGTTTCAAAAGTTGGCCTTTTAAAGTATTTAAAGAAAGTAAGTTTCTTTAAAATTAAGTAAGAACTTAGTTGATTATACGAAGGTGCTACAAAACTTTTGTAAACTAAATTTAGCAGCATTTTTAAAGTGGATACTCAGATTTAAGGATCTTTTGTTTGGAATTTGGAAAAGCAAAATATACTTTGAAAGAACTACGTCGTTTCTTTAGAAATGTAAAATCCTGACTTCTGAAAGGGTCCTGAATTGGGAGCATTCGACCAGCTCGTCGCCTGTGCAGCTGTTGCTGCCCTCATCGATGGAGCACGCTAACTGCTGCTATTGGCAATCAGGCAGCTTAAACGCTGCCAGCTATCCAACTAGCCGGCCAACGACGTGAGCTTAATGCGCAAAAAGCAGGGATACGAGGACTTCGAAAGGATATTCGGGGGGAGGCAGTCGGCGGGGGAAGGAAACAAGTGCAGTGGCGTTCGAGTGGCACAAGATTTATGCTCGGGTCAGCAAGGTCGATGGCGGCAATCGTTGCACATGTTGTCGTCTCATCTTAAATGTATTAGTGGCAGGAGTTCCAGTGCCCAGCTAGCTCCTCCCGGCACCGAACTCATTTCGTATGCAGCTCAGGCGATGTTTTAGCAGTTTGCTCTATTATTTATTGCTGGCCGTTTCACTGGCCAGTTCCCGCTGACCCCCTTCGAAAATCCATTTGAAAATCAAAATCGCAGCTAATGCGCCATCAGCAAATACAGAACGATATTGGAGCGGGGATGGGCACTACGTCCAGGAGTCCTGACCTTCAGCCCGGCATCCTCATTAGCATGGGTGTGGAGGAGATTCGGCAAAGGATCCGAGGAACTGGCGGGGAAATAGGACTCGGCAAGGGGACTTTGTCGGCGCCAGCTTACCGACTTAAAACACAGGCGGCAGTGGCAATAGCAGTAAGTTTTCCCAGTAGCTTGCTGTGCAAAATTTATTGAAAAACTTTCTTATCGCATTTGAACAAGCGAGTAACTTCTCTGTATGTTTCCGTTTGCCAGTGTGCGTGCGCCTGGATATTTGTGATTATTTTTTTAAGTTTCGCACAACTTTCCTCTCAGGGATAGCAGGGAGAAAAGGAAATGCCAGCGACGACTGGCCGGCAGACAGAAAGTAACTTAATTGTTTGCAGATACAAATAAATGAGTTGCACAGAAAAAAAACACCAAGCAAACACACACAAAGGCCAAGGCAAGGCCAAGCCAACAACAACAAGGGACAGGAAAACAAGAGAATAAAATCTTGACTCGATTGTTGGAAAATCTTTTCGCTCAGCCAGGGAAACAAATCGAAAACTTTAATGCGCTGCAGAGAAACGAGAAAGCTGTAGGAGATTAAAAGAACTGTTTCGGATTCTCAAAAGGATTTCAGGACACGACATTTATTTAGGTAGCGAGTTCTAATTAGTGGAGGAATCCTGAAGGTGGGAGCATCTTCTTTCTTATCCTATATTTTGTATTCTAAGAGAATTGTTTCTTTCAGAAACGAAATTGGATGTACAGGGAGAGGTCAAGGAAGATAGCAGCCAGAAATTATAGGAATGAGAAAGGGTGGCCTTCACGGAATTGTGTTCTCAAACGGATTTCGGTGCAAGTAATTTAAATAAGATAGGTTTAGCCTGCAAAAGGATATCTTTTTCCCAATACTGTCTGATGCTTTTTTAAAACAAAGGAAACATCGAGAGTCAAACTTATCCAATCTACTGAGTTCTTTGTTAAATTGTGGACATACATAAAATGTTCTAACTCAAATCGAAGAAAAAACTACAAGGACATGCTCGAGTTGGAAAGCAATAAAGATTTCCGCAAGTTCAGCGATTTACTGGGAACACGCCAACGGACAAGGACTCCCGCAGGACCAAGGGATGTGGGTCATCTGGCCTGCGGTCGCATTGACATTATAGCCTCGGCGAGACTGAAACTCCCCGGAATCCATGGAACTACTATACAACAACAATGGGCTGAGAAGCATGACATTGAGGGACAGGACAATGGCTGGGATAATATTAAGCACAATGGCTGGCAGGAGAACAGTCGGGACGAGTTATTCGCCGCATTGTGGAGAGCTCCTGGCAAGGCATTCAGCTGTTTGCACAACAATTTGATCGATTTCATTATTAATCCGATTTGATGGGGCGAAGGCTCCCACAGGCAGCCATTTTGACGATTTTGTGGTTATTGTCGGAAGTGCAAATGCAAATGGAGATGATGCACCCACCGCAAGTCGGAAAAGGGGGGAGAAATGGGCCCGGGAATGGGGGGCAATTGCCATGCCAGTCACATGCCCGTTGCCAAATTTGCACTGGCACAAGTCAAACGCCCCCGTCGAGTTGACAATGGAGTCGCTGCATGCCAATGAATTGACTCGAACTCGCATCCGCACTCGCAGGAATCCAAGGCGAAATTCCCAGCAAAAATCAAACGTGTCGCTGATCCGGACTTCCTTTAAGTCAAGCGCACCATTCGACAAATGTCTGTGGAGTCAATTGCTTAACCCTCAAAAGCCAACTGGAAATTTCTTTTGGACACACAAAGAAAAGTATTGAGTTGAGAAGTACGATTAAAAAACACAATTAAATTTATTATAACAAAAATTTAAGCAAGATTTTTTCATACAATTTGCATCTTTGTTTATAAAATATCATTGTCTCAAATTAAAATTGAAGTGAATTAAGACTTGTTGTATTGCAGCTAAACTAAACTCACCATTATAAATGCTAGAATATATTTTCCTTTCCTTTCTTTTACTGAGAGAAACTCTTGTGCCCAGAGTGGGTTAATGGAATTCCCCCCAGAGATTCAGGCAATGCTTCTTTCCATTGTTGCTGTTAGCCTGGGGATATGCAATGGCAGCACATTAAAATATGTGCATGCGATAACGGAAAGGGGGTTTTTGGTTGGGGAATGCCAAGATTCCAATGCAGGCGACACCGTTCGACAACTGCCAATGAGTGGGCGTGGCTGTCAGGGAGTAGCCCGAAGGAGAAGAGGAGGAGCAAGGACACCAGTGAGGGCGAGGATGAAGGATCTGGGGTCCGCTCAAGTGCGCGTCAGCAACTACGAGCAGCACATTTCCGTTTCCGCACACGAAATGCTCTGAAAACGGAGCATTTTGAAAATGCAAAACGTGGCGCAAAATGTAAACAGGGATGGAGGGACCAAGAGATACACGGAAATGGAAATTTGTTTAAAAATATAATAAATGGAGAGTCATCGATGGCAATATTTACCCGAGACTCTGAATAGTTTAGTATTTTACTTTGAAAACAATGCATATGTGTTTGTGTAAAAAAAGAATTGCGGGATATATTTTTTAGTAAAACTTTTCAAAATATTTTTCAAGTGTTTTATGGTGGTAACCCCCACCTACAGTCAACTGAGGCTGTAAAAATAAAGCAACACAAATTTTATAAAAATATATTTGCCATGACTGCGTTATTTCTAGGCCAACGGCATGAAAACAAAGCCGATGGCACTTTAAGCCGCCACCCACTTGGAGCCATCTAAAAGCGCCCGACCAACCACCCCCTCGATGAAACCCGCTAACGGAAATGCTTTACAGAGCACGTCGCCGGTGGGCACACCCCCTCACACCCACACTCACACACACATAGCCCCCTCACAGACACACACATGGAAGCTGCTGGCCGCTAAAAGCTGTTTTTACAGATATTTCACCCCCATCCCAGCCGCATTTTGCCATTTCCTTCCGTTCCGTTTCGTTACGTAGTGCGACGTTACGTTGACTGACCTTACGTTATGTTCACATATTTCACTCGCGTGCTGCCAGCCACAAAACCCCGACCCCCTGTTGCCATTACGTACAGAGGCGGGTGTATGAAAAATTTGGAGGGGCTTTGAAAAATATGTTTGAAAGAACAAGTTTTTGGACAAGGAAAAGTCCTTACTGGTATTCATTTTCCTTTTTACTTTAAATACATCTAATGGTGGTTTATAAGGTAAGATAAGATATAAGTTTTTAAGAACTGGTATGAATTGTTTAGTCCAAAGTACAAAGATTGGTATAATGAATCCATAAATTACCCAACAGAACCCCCTATAAACACACCACTGCCTTTGACCCCCAGTTTCTGGAAACCTAACTGCCTCCTATCCCTACTTTCCGCTCCCAACTCCAGCGCACGGCCATTTCCAACGCGTACGTGCTTATTTTTTAGCAACTTGAACAATGTTTTTGCTCCCGGGAAATTTGTGCAGCTTGTGATAAAAGTTCTAACCGGAAGGTGCCAGAGCGCGGGGTCCAAAGGCGGCGGTGCGCTGATGGCGCGAGGTCGGCATTTTGGACCTGGCATACGGAAAATGCACTGAACGGAGAGAGTGCCGCCCCCTTGGCATGCACCCATTGTCGCATGCAATTATTGTGCTGATTGAAGTGGGGCGCGTGCGGTTGGCGGGGGCAACTTAGAGGGGCACCCTATAATTCATCCGTCTTCCACAACGACGACAACCTGGCACTAAGCCGAAACCCGAGCTGCTGACAGCCGCGAAGGCCACATCATCGAGAAGGCACGCGTACAAAAAGTAAATTGAATTGGCAGCGAAAATGTTATATTATTTGTGTTTACCATGCCAGAAAAACTCAAGCTTTTGTGGGATAATATAATAACACATCATACCTATATCACATTTTATTTACCCTAAAAAGCTCATGTTGCCTAATCCCGAACCATTAAAAAAGGGAACGCCCAGATTAAATCTGAAACGGACCCATTTTTTCTGTACGTATGTGAAATGGTTTAATGGAAAAATGTATGAATTATTGAATCCAGGCAAATCCCCTCCAATTATCTCGTTCATTTACAAAGATTTTGGCAAAGGCCGGGCGTAAGGGATAGCGATTTTTGGCCATTTTGTGGTCCTGGCAGAAATCTCGTTTCAAGCAAATTTCATTGCATACTTTTGTGGGCTTAAGTATTTAGGCACCAAACCCCACAGAGTTGGACAGTTTTTGGACAGACCCAGTGGCCACATGCTCAGCGAGGAGATTTTTGGCATTAAACAACTTTTGGCCGCTGTCAACGGCAGACAGTGTGAGACCGAAAACGAAAACGTGAACGAGTACGAGAACGAATACGAATGTGAATCCCCAGTCCCCCTAATTCAAGGCTCCTCTTAATGAAGCAACCAAATCCACTGGTCGGTCCCCTGGGTTCTTATAGATGCTGGAAATGGCCGGGAGCCGGGAGGTCTTTCGCTGGCTGGGTGTGGGCGAAGCTTAGCAATTAGATTGCTGCATATTTAATGCATGAATGGCGCCACAATTTTGGGCATTTGACCAAAAGGCCACAACCATATTGAGGCGTTTATGAGGTGGAAAACCGGAGAAGGAGACGTAAATTACGAGCCATCCCCTGGGCTCCCCACTCATAGGATGTATGCATGCAAAGAGTTTTAAGCACATAAGCGGCTTTCTTTCACGTGGCCAACACTACCGCCCTTTGTGGCCCTTTGTGACTGCTATCGTATGTGGCATGCATACACACAGCACGCAACAAAATAATAGTTATTCTCATTTTGGGATACAAGTATCACATTTAAAGTAATTCTCAGAAAAAGTAAACTAGCAAAAGTATTAATAAATTTTTGTGAATCCATTTTGAGTATTTTTTTTTGTAGCACCCCTAATTCGTTGCCCTCAAGTGTTTGTGTATGTAAGGATATGGATTTCCGGATGGTACTTACTCGCTCCTCCTCGGGGGCGCCGTCGGCCGTCACTTTGGCCATACAGGCAGCAGATCCGCCGGCACAGCCTAATTGGTATTTGGGCACTAATGGACGGCACACATTCAAAAAGAACTGCAAGGAAATAAGAGAAAGCCGGGTTGAGAGTTAAGTGGCAAAGACAAAAGCCAGCAAATTACTGCCTTTTTGGATGCCTGTGGGAAATCAGGGACTACAACGGACTCACCTTGGTCGTCTTGGGCACCAGGTGCTCCATGCTGGCCGGCAACTCCACCCTGGCCTCGTAGTTGTCGCTGGCGCTAATCAATGGCGTTAGATCGATCAGCTCGTCGCCACTGCTGCCAAAACCATTCGCCGTGTGGTCCACATAAAGAGTGGTCTTGCATTTAATCGGCTCCCGACAGGCCAGCGGCGTCTGATATTGGATCAACAGCTGACAATTGGAGTCCTCAATTATCTTCAAAGAATCCGCATTGTCCTTGGTGGCATTGTTCGCGCAGACAAACTCGATTTTCGTCGACCACTGCCTGATGGCCGAGCCTGTGGGGCACTTCGCCCCGTCGTCGTACAGCAAATACAGCGAGCCGCTCTGATTGAATCGCAGCTGCGAGTTGGAGTTGCCCAGGCTGATAGTTGTGGAATTCTGCTCGTAACAGGCGCCTGCAAGTGAACGAAAAGCGGGCGGATCAATAGAGTTCTCCACGGAACGGAAAGGCGCCAAGCGCCAAAAAGTCGGAAAGAAAAACAAAGACCCGCTCAAAAGCAAATAAAACACCAACATGGCCAGCAAATCCGCGCTGGAAAAACCTGAACCATTCACGCCATCACACTCGAAACTTTTTTCAGAATTAACTGATGTTGTAGATGATGTGGATGTGGCTTGAATACAAATACTAAAACTAAGAGAAGTTTAAGAAAGAAGTTTCAAAGTTAGCAGCGAAGCAAACAAAGACAACTAATCAATTTTTCTAGAATGTCTAAGAAGATGATATAATTGCTAATACTTCTTCATTACTTTCAATAATTTGTAAGAGGTTCTAGAAGTCAAGTATTTTCTTAGCAAAGTTTGGGTTTTTTTTAGAGTGCAGTTTTGATTATAGAACCACTGCTTCCCGCGAATGGAGCAACTACTCGCATAGCAAAGGACCAGGGATAACACGAAGTGGCAGCAGCTGCGACTGGACATCAAAGGCGAAATTAATTGTTCTCGCTGTTTGTCCACTTGCAAGGAATTTTTTTCGCTGCCCACTCGGTGAGAGTGTCTAAGCAAGCGGAATGCTTTCAGGAACGCCCCCAGCCAGGTCGATCCAGTGTAAAGTGACATCAAAACACAATGGACCCTGGCACGCAGCAATGCCTCCAGGAGTAATTGGCAGTGAATTTGCATCGAGTCGAAGACTTCCTTTGGAATTTAAGATTTAATTGCCTAAAAATAACATTAAGTTGTTTGGAGAGCTGAAAGCGTCCTCTTGACAACTCAATTTTATGGAAATAAACAGGATGTCGTCCTCGCCCTGCCGTTGTCGTTTTTGATTCTTTCCTTTTCAATCTTTCATTTCACTTGCAACCCAACAATTTTGAGCAATGTCACTCACATTTGCCGGATTTTGATTGAGCGCCCTAGAGCAGACAGCATTGTGATTGTGATTTGACTGGAGTATGGTAATTTCAGACCCCTTCACTCCACACTCCCCCTTCCATTCGCCGCCTCCACAACTCTGCGTCCACATTTTTATACTTTATTGCAGACATCGGACAAATATCCATCCACATACACATGCAGGATCAAGAGCCATGACCAACAACGAGAAAATGACAAAAACGAAGAGAAAAAGACCAATTGAGGTGGCTTTTGGCAAATCGAAAAAGAAATCGACTGTCAACTAAATTGATAAATGACATTGTGGGTCTGCGTGACAATATATGTACGTCTGTATGACCGACTGTAAGCCACAGGACCTGCTAGAGTCCTGTAGAAGTATGCAATTGAATTTAGCAGACCGCAAACTCAGAAGAACAGAAGACGCTCTCTAGGGATTTATTTCTACAGCTTCGCTCAGATTGGAATATTCGTAAAGTTCTTTAAAAAAAATCAGAAGAGGAAAATCAAAGATAAAATAATAAGAAATTTAACAACCATTATTATTGGTATAAATTGCTGACTTATTAAACAACTTCAGGAATCTGTACTTCGGATATGATATATTTTGTTTAACTCCTTTGTGATATTATTTCAACCGCAGGTGTGCTATTCATCCGGACAAGTGTGTTCAGGATGTTTTCTTGTACATACACCTTGGGTGAAAATCATTTCCTTGTCAAGATTATCCATCGAGATTGACCTGGTCACAAACACACCGACACAATACACCCTCGTAAATTGAATCCCAATGCAATCTCGGTTCAAAGCAAGCCTTTGGGGTTCGCATTGCGGTCATGAAACAAAACATTGCTTAAATTCCGCCTACTTCTGAGAAGGGTTAAATATAAGGAGCTGACTTTGTGGCAATGATAAGGCGACTGGCAACGGTATGCCGCAAAATATTTCCGGGCGAATAGCGGCAACTGCAAATGGTTAAGAAAACCCGGGGCAAATTGAATTTCAATAAGAAAACATTCTGGCAAGGGCCAAGTAACCCTAAAAACATTGACCAGCAGCCGGCAGCCAGCGAGCGCCAGCAAAAACCCGGCAGAAGCGAGAAAAACAAATATAAAACGATTTAGTAGCTGCCTGATGCCACTTTGGATGGCGCATCCAGGCCAAACAGCTGCCGGCAAGTGTTAGTTACGGCTGGTAGGATGAAGGAGTGGGTGGCTGGGGTGGCTCGCATTTGGGGTTCGCTTTTTGTCCAGTTCGGACCAAATTGAATCTGCCCGCCAGCAGCAAGGGCAACACAAATAACCAAAGGAGCAGGAGAGCCCCACATAAAAAGGAGTAAAATACGAAAACAATAAAAACAACAGAATCAAATTATAAACAAAACAGCAGCAGCTCGAGAAAAACAACAGGCACGAAATTGTTGTGCCATCGGACTTTGATATTCTCCAGACTTGTACAAAATATAGTGAGCTTATCTTTTGCAAACTAGCAATAGTTGCATTTTACAAAAAAGCTGAGGTTACAACTTTTGCAGACCACGACTACCGCCTGAAATATATTAATAAAATAATAAAAAAGGGTAGAAAATTAGACACTGACATGCGTTGTTTATACAAAATAAATTTTAAAACTGTCCAGAACATCAGATACTTTGACCAGTAATGTTTACCAAATAATTTGTTTCTAGCAACACTCTACGAAAACGGCGCTTTTAAAATCGATTCAAGCGGTTTATAAACAGCACGCCGAACTGAATTTGCTTAGGCAATTATTTTGGCAAGCTGCAATTAAATGAAGCCTGCCTGATCATATCACTCGGAGCACTACATATAGCCAAAATCCCCCGCAGCTACCTTCAAAATGGCAATTTGCCGAACCCGCCATAAATAAATATAAAATGCAGAGCGAAACGCAAATGAAAATTACACAAAATGACAGGACAACAACGCATGCTGCATAAGCAATTAACAGCAGAAATGGGGGCGGGATTTTATATGGGTTTTTGGTTTTTTGGGGGGCGTGGCCATAACTCACTTGCAGGCAGAAAGGGCCAGGGCCAAAACCCTGCCAAATGCCTTCAAATATTGAATTCAGCTATGCAAACCAGGAGGTTTTAATGCCCATCCGGGGAATGAGAGGGGCTGGCTGCAATATGCCGTCTGCCAGTGTCAGCTGGGCGCCAAACAGCGAACTTGCAACGCAGCATGCATACACCGAAAAAAATAGATACTGTAACTATCTTCCCTTTACAAACTACTTTCCCGTATTCTAACTTTTTTAATGTTGATTCCTTTCAAATTAATTTAATTAAAGTAATATGTTTTTCCTATAGAAACAAATTGACCTTTCTTCAACAAGCATAAATATTTCTCTCTGTGCAAATAAGCGCCAGCTTGTTTACAAAAGCGCTAGCATGTCCTGCGCCCCACTTTCGCGCATGTGTGTTCGTCTGCTATTTGCCTAACAAATGAAAATTTCATGTAGGTCTCTGCCTCATGGCCTGGACATCAGTTTGGCAAAAGGGAGCACACACTTATTTATTTGTTTAGGCCCAGCAGTGGGCCATGATATCTCCACAGTGTGTCTGTGTCTGTGCGAAACGCGCTATTCGCGAGGGGGCCAGCCAACCGAAAGGGACGCGCCAACGGATATGCGTCTGCAGTCGACTACGGAATGCAGGACACCCAGATACACATCCTTGCCCTGCGTGAGCTGATGCTCCATGGATACCAGATACGAGGGACACGTTTCACTTGCCAACAGCCCACATCAGGCAAAGTTGTTATTTGCCATGGCGAACCGTCCCCCATGTGGATGCAGCGCGCATGCAAAGCAAATAAATAGAAAAATATCAAAGCTGCAGAGATGTTCGCCATATATGCTTTAGAGCATTAGATTATGCACGGCGATGTAAAACATGTCAAGTTTTATGCACAACTTTGTTTATATTTTGCAATGTATGTACTTGTAATACTGTCTGAGAAAAAACTATTTAAAATCAAAGAAATTAAAGTTTTAAAAAGTTAACAACTTAACAAAATTTTTAATATCATAAATGCACAGCTTGTATTGAAACAAAATATTAAAGTTATTTCAGAGTATCCCAGTGGCGTCTAAAACGCTTAGCTTATTACTGACGTCAAAAAATGTAAATTGAATTTTCACGTGGTGGCAAAGGATACCGAGATGGAATGATGGGTTAGGCTAATGGTCGTCTGACCAACCCACATGCACACTCACAGGCGGACTCGTAAATTATGCAAATATATGACGGACCACATCACAGATCTAAATCATTATCATCATACCCCGGCATTTACAACTGCCAGCACACGAGTACGGACGTTTGTATACGGACATATGTAGAGGGGATCCACAAATAGCCACTCGTGTGTGCTTTAATGGAAACCGGATGAAATGGTCAACACTTGACCGGGCCCTACCCATTTTTTCCTGCACTTCTCTCCGGTTACCAAGACGATTATGGCCCTGAGCGCCACTCGAGCGGAAGAGCAATAAAAAATCATTAATCCCGCACAACAAGAGTCCTCGAGACGAAAGGGTTTAAAGCTTTAGCAGGTTAGTGCTTCCTCAACTTGGCGCGTGAAGCCCCTTTTAATTACTACTCTTTTATGGCGAGTAAGTTTTGCATCAGCACTTAAAATCTATATTAATATTTGAGTGCGCAAATGGTCGACTTACCGCTTTTTTCCTGGCAGGGAGTCCCAGCATGGGCGCACACTGCAATTGTATAGTTTTTGCCATCCTTAATCAAAGTCCGGGCTGGCTTCGTACTGAGCGAACTGAGATCCAGACTATAAAGCGAAAAGAGTAAAGTGCAAGAGTTTAAAGCAAAAATCATTGAGTGAAATGAAATTACTTACAGCTCATTTGGAGAAGTGAAAACCGTACAAGGTTTGAGATCAATACAGGCCAGCGGAGTGACAAAGTTGAACTGGTATGTACAGGAATCGGCTCCAAGACCCACGAACTCTGGATGCGCGTTCTAAAGTGAATATATTTAATATAGTATTTAATTACCAATTATTCTGAAAACCTAAATTACTCACCATTATCAACTTATCACAGCTAAAATAAATCACGCTGGTGTAATTTGCGCTGGAGTTCTTAGCACAGGGCGTTGGTGACTCATGTCTAAGCAACAGCTGCCCGTTCTCCACCAATGGACGCGATTGCACATTTCCCAAATTGATAAATCTAGTGGGGAATATCATTGACTAATATGCACCACTGTATTAACCAATGCTCACCCACCGTTTCTTTGAATTTGTTTCCTTTGGGTTAAATAAACACACGCTGCTGCCGGGCGGACACATGCTGTTCTTGCCGTAGAGGACAGGTTTGCAAACGTTGATCAGGAAAAATGCATCATGGCGATTGCTGGTTCTATAGTTACTATCACTCAGCGACATCAGATCGAAGGTTCCATTCGATTTTGAGTCACGCACACTGCAACTATTGGATTGCAGGGCATCAGGAATGGGTAGACAAGCCAGTGGGGTCTCATATATCATATAAAAAGAACAGGCATCGTTGGCCTATGCGGAATAAAGAAGGAATGACAGTTTTATCAATGAATTTTCAGAGATTTCTATAGCACTCCTGGACATAATTTGACTGCTTACATAAGGCGTTATGTGCATTGGCCGAGCGTCCAAGGTATAGTCGCAATTTAACATCACATGGAACTGATAGTTGGGATTGCTGGCGGTTCCATTTTCACACTTGGCACCACTTTTATACTTCAGATACATTGTTCCATTGTCGTAGAACAACTCATGTTGGCGACCTATGAAATAAAAGTATTTTAGAGAGATTTTTTCTATGGCTTCCATGTAGCTCTAAACTCACCGAGAATGTACTCCTTTCCCTGCTTTTTAAGGCAGGCTGCCACATTACTCTCGCCATTGCAGGTTCTAGATAGATTACCACAAATGTTAAACTCAAACTTGTCGCCTCCATTGCCCACACTCTCAACCACATGAGCCAAGTCTGAGCGGAGCCCACTGAAGTCAAAGGTGGTGCCGTAAATGGGCTCCTTGATTTGACATTCCTGGGTAGAAAATGTCTTTAAAGAAAAAAAATGTAAAAATAATTAGTTTCCGATTAATTAAAAAAAATAATGCAAAATTATTTTATATTATATTTTTTTACGGTAGAAAAAGGGGCAAAAAAAATATTTAGACTATCTGTTTTTATTTTACAAACTTAAAACTGTTTATCAATAAGGCTTTTCTCTGAGACTTCATTTTTAATTATAAAGAAAGGTATTGATAAGGAAGTCTTTTTTTATTACAAGCTATTGTGTTAACTGCTTTTGTTGTTATCGCCGACTGATTGATTTCTTAGCCATTTGAAATGTCGACCAACAAAGACTGGAAGCGATAAGCGGGTATGGAGAATATGCTCTTGGAAGGCCAAAAACGGGGTCTTGGCCAAAATGCCAACAAGTGCGCAGTGAAAATAAACAAGCCGCCCCAAAATAAACGCCCGCCCACTAACCAAACAACAGCCCGTCTCCCACTAAACGCCCACTCACCAGCTGATCGGCTGCGTCACTGGCAACACTCTCGCCGCAGCTTAATAGCAGCAAAAACAGGGAAATCACAAGTCGAGAACGCATCTGCAGAAATTTTAAATTTAAAATTAGATATTACTGCAATTAAAAAAGTATAATATGTAAAATCTGTACCCACCTGGCGAAAATTTTCCTGCGTGGGAGTTGCGCAGTCCTTTTGCAAGCTGCAGCGCATTTTGTCATCTGCAGGTTCTGGAAAATAAGTGGGCACAAAATAAGTCAATGACTGTGAAATCAGCCGCTGTTTGTTTATTACTAATTCCGTCTTATGGTTATCGCAATTTTTTCGCACTAATAGCAGTTTGATTACCCTTATCACAAGTTAACTGTTTATTTTGAGAGTGAGACAAGTTGTTATTGCTTTTCCAACAAGCTTCCTCTTCGATTTTTCAACGGTCACTCAAATTTGTTTTCTTCTCACGCGGCACAAAAACCAGCACTCGCTGGCGACGCAAGCGAAATGAGTTACGCGAAGCGGGGGTAATGGGCTAATCTCTATTATTGCCCAAAGTATACCTTTTCAAATGTGGCTTGATTACCTGGCAAAAAAAACACGGCCAATTGCAATTGTTATTTTCCGTTAACAGGCGAACGGCAGTCGTTAGGAAGAGGAAGAACTAGTCGGTAGTGTGGTAACACTGGCCAAACAGCTGTTGCGCTTCCAAATATAAGAATAGATTAACTAAAAATAAATTTTGAACAATAGTACAAAGCTTTTTGTATTAAAATAAATATTGTTCTGATAGGTTACAAATTTAAAACATATTTATTTTTTATGAGTTTATGTTGATTTATTAAAATTTACCTTTTGCGCCATACGTTGACAAGAGAATGGCAAGGGCTTAACAGAAAAAGAGCCGGCCGGTAGTGTGGCTACACTTGCAAATCAAACAGCTGTTGCGCTTGCGAAAACTGCACTTTTATTGTATTTTTATTTACTCGATTTTCAGATGGCTGCCAATATAGCCGCTGCAGCCGCAGCCGCCCAAGAAGTAGACCCCGTTCTGAAAAAGGCAATCAAGCTGCTGCACTCGAGTAATCCCACCTCTGCGGCCGAGTTACGCCTACTCTTCGATGAGGCTCTAAAAACACGTTTCGGACCGGAAAAAGTTTGACCAACAACATGAGCCAGCGTATGCTGGAGGATGAGGCCAACTTTCCGGGCCGGGCGGCCACGCCTCCGCAGCAGCCCATTAACACGGATGAGATTATCAATCTGACAAACTCACCGGATAAGGAGCCGTCGGATTCGGTAGACACCATTGCGGATTCGGACGATGGCTTGAGTGCCGTGGGTATTGTTAATACTGGGGATACCGGCGACTTTGGCGATCTCAACTGTTGTGTGTGTGGCGAGATGGTCTTCACGGCCACAAACCGTCTGATAGAGTGTTCCAAATGCGGCGCCATGTACCACCAGGAGTGCCACAAGCCTCCGATCACAAAAGAAGAGGCGGCTGATGACCAGGAACAGAATTGGCAGTGCGACACGTGCTGCAATAAGCCCACGAGCAGCGGGAGGACGACTTCATCTGCGGCGGCAGTCACACCCACCGTTTTCATAGCCGACGAGCCAATGCCGCTGACCAGCAAAGCTAAATCCTCGGCGGCATCTTCACGATCATCTAATTCGTCCAACTCCTCGTCGCCGTTCTACAGACCCGAGCCCAGTAGCTCCACAAATGCCAGCAGCAGTAGCAGCAGCAAACATGGCCACAAGTCCTCCTCGTCATCCTCTTCCAAGTCGCACAAGGAGGAGCGATCTTCGAAGTCCACGACGACGCCTTCACTTAGTGCCATCGGAAGCATGGAAAAGCACACCAGCAGTAGTAGTGGGACCTCCTCATCGCGACGCAGCAGCTCCAGTGCCAGGTCCAGTTCCAAGAGCAGTTCATCAAAACATCACGAAAGTGGAAGCAGCAAACGCAGGTCGAAACAGTAAATAGGATATCCATATTATTAAGTACAAAGTCTAAATGAAAATATCCATTTATTTATACACTATATTATAATCTGTAAGCATCTTGGATTACTTTAAATTTCTGATTTTACTTATTTGTGTTACCACAGTTCAAACAAATAAAATTCATTATTTAAGTAAACGTTGGAAAATAATTAAGTGTGTTTTATTCAAAGGGTTATTAATTTAAAAATATAGAAAACAAAAAGTCTGCACCTATCGCTGGTACTTGCGCACGGTGACGGCGGGAGTACGTGGACTACGACCAGAAGAGGTCGAGTCGCCGTCATCCCCATTCATCTTGCGCAGGTTTACCCGCGTCACGGGAGTGCCGTCCTCCTTCGAACTGGCCAGGCTGCGGGATGAGGGTGTCTTCGATTCCACCATTGCTGCCTTATCCTTGTCTGCCTTCTTTTTGCGTTTGACGTTCACAATCACGTTGGCGTCCATGCTCACGTCCAGCTCAAAGTTGAACTCGTAGGTTTTGTTGGAACGTGGCTGCGGGGTCAAATCATCGTTGACCACAGTTTTGCCACCAGGTCGTCCACGCAGGGAAATGGCCGGACTGAAATTGATCTTCGCACTGACATTAGGTGTCCTTACTCTCGCAGGAGTCGGCGTGTGTGGCTTGGGACTAGCCTTGGGTGTGCCTTTTAGCTTGGGAGTGGATTTTGGCTCCGTCTTCACCCGCTTTTTGCTGGGTGGAGTACTTTCTGCGGCTGCAGCAGGAGCGGATCGCTTCATGGGCGAAACTTTAACATTTCGGGCTGTCGGTGACAGCTTCTTAGCTGCCTTCTTGCGTGGTACTTTCTCCTCCTGCTCCTCTTCGTCGCTGGCAGAGATTTCCTCCTCTATGGAAGAATTCAATGCAGGAGATTCTATTTTCTTTCCTCTTTTTGCTGCAGCTGCCTTGCTCGTTCCGGGTGGACTGTGGTTATTGTTGCTGCTAGTCTGTGGTTTAATCTTGAATTCCAGATCCCCACTGTTTGGAATTTTCAACTGTTTGAGGGCATTTGCGAACCAACTGCGGCACTTGTCGTAGTCTGGCTCTTGGTTATGCGTTAATTTTGAGACATACTTCATGAAATCCCCTATGGCAGCGGGTACTCCTTTAGGAAACAGCTGCTTAAGACTCTCTCCTACATTATCCATAAATGCTTCCTTCGCTTTTTGAACTTTAACCGGGACAGCCAGTAGTTTCTGCGTTACCCAGGGTAGCTCCACACCCAGCCATTCAATGAGATTGTAGCCGAGAATCTCCAGATCAGACCGCCTAGTGGGAACCCCCAAGTGGGCATCCCTCGATGTGTACTCTATAGTACCGTTGTGCATTTTCTTGGGGTCCGGCTTAAAGTCCCCTGTGACGAAATGAGAGGCTAAGCCGAAGTCAACCAAGTAAGCCTGTGCTCCGCCGCCTTTTCCCAGGCCCAGCAGTATGTTGGCCGCCTTGAGATCGGCGTGAACGTAGCCTGTGCTGTGCATAAACTGGTAGACGTCCAGCATCTGTATGGCCAGCCGGTATACAGTGCCCTCGGGGAGTCGCTTTCCATTTTGTTCCAGAAACTTAGAGATATCGCTGCCGTAGCGCGGCATTACTATAAAACGATGTTTTTCTCCGTTGACCTCGACGGAACCGTTGGCCAGGATGTAAGGCATGCCCAGGGACTTTATGCCGTTTTTCTGTTTGAACTGTTTGATGTCGTCCTGCTTGGCATTGCGCAGATAGAAGTGCATCTCCACGAAAAGAGGACCGTTGCCATGGGGCTCCTAAAAAGCACTTTTAAGAAGACATCTTCGAGAAGGGTAACTTTTAGGGTACAACTCACACATTTGACCACCGCATCGTAGTTCTTCTCCCCGACTTTGCAAGCAGCGTAGATCTCGCCGAATCCTCCCATTCCAATTGAGGGTCCTATGCGCCACTGGCCTTTTGCCAAATCTGTGAAAACCGTGCCCTCCTTAACCTTCTCCGGCATCGCGTACATCTTGCTCTTGGCCTTTTTGGCCGGCACAGCCTTTTTGGCCGGCGCAGCCACTTTCGGCTTGACTACACGCGGCATTTTAAGGCGCTAAATCGTGGCTAAACAAAAAATTCGCAAATTCCGCTCGAAATGCCGGGCCGATAGGGTTGACACTCGGCGCGGGCAGAAGCGTTATGCAGGGTTGTCAGTTGCCTGGACACAAATTGCCTCATGCACAATTGGATAGTCAAAACAATAGTTTTACAATTATGAGTTAAATGTCAAAGTGGATAAAGTCAAATTCGTATACCAAAACATATAAAAAAAAACAATAATCTTTTAATTATATTTAATTTTATGATTAATTTTACATTTGTCTGGGAGGGATAATATTAGATTAGTATTAATCGCAGCTGGATTGGTTAATAGTGAGAGGCGGTTGAGTCCGAATTTATTTGTTTGAATTTATTTCCAATATTTGTATCCAAATTCATTTCTATTTCAAAGGAAACTTTTATAACGCTCGACAACCCTGAAACCAAAATCCATCGATACATATCGATAAGTCTAGTTCCACCGCTAGCGTCCGCTGACGGCGTCTTTTTTCCCGTAAATTTTCGAGTGTCAAGAAGTCGCGTTCGAGGCGCAATTTCCGCAGAAATCCACAACACTTCGGTTCCGAGTCGTAACAATCATTCCCATCGCCGCAGAAAGAACACCAGTGCTTAGAGCATTTCGCAAGCGCAGTTAGCACCCAACAGAAAAATCGATTAAACAGAAATGGTAATTTTCGGCGAATTTCGAGCGGCAGCGCAGCTTGCTTTTCGCACTGCGCGTGCCCTTAGCCGCGAATTAAATATTGATGCAGATTGTGGATGCAGCATGCATAAAGAGTAAAAACACCACGTAGCGCGTAAACCGATGAGCCCCAAAAACGGCGGGCATTTGTTATTGTATTGGAGGAGGCAATCGGTCCTAACCTCACAATGGCATCGGCGCCACCATTTTGTGTTTTTACGGCTTGTTTTTTAGTTTTTAAACCTAATAGGCGCTGTGTTGTGTTTTTCACAGGCTGGCGGTAAAGCAGGCAAGGATTCAGGAAAGGCCAAGGCGAAGGCGGTTTCAAGATCGGCGCGCGCGGGTCTCCAGGTGAGTTTACAATCGGTCCGTCGTCTGTACCTCGGTTTTGGCGCCTTTTTTACGTGCTCACCGCGCCACCGAGCATATTCCACCAAAAACAGGGTGCTTTTGTTTTTTTTTTCGAGGGGGTTGACAAACATAAACAACTCGGATAATTAATGAGTTATTTCTTATGTGCAGTTCCCCGTGGGTCGTATCCATCGTCATCTTAAGAGCCGCACCACATCCCACGGACGCGTCGGAGCCACCGCCGCTGTTTACTCCGCTGCCATATTGGAATACTTGACCGCCGAGGTGAGTGTTTTCCCGCTTTTCTTGAGCGGCCCTTGCGAGAACGGTACTTTTCCGGTGCAATTGGAAAACACCAGAAAACCAGAGTTCTTATTGCCATACAAAGCGAATGATGAAAATGTACAGCTAGCTTGCATGTGAAATAATCAAGTTTAAAATTTTAAATGAATAATTTATTGTTTACAATTTTTATTACATTGAAATTCCAAACATACTTTGATTTTAATTTGGATTTTATATGATTTTTCCGCTTTTATTGAGCATTTGTTATTCCGACAAATTTCCCGCTTTAAATAAATCACTAAATATACTTATTATTTGTTCCTCTTGGTATTTTAGCTTCATACAAAAATATTAACAGAACTAAATATTGTGTTGAACGTAGGTTGTAAAAGATTACGCGGTTTTATGGCTGAATTTTTAAACAGCTGTTTATTTTATAAAATTTGTCTAATACAACGTTCCAATTGCAGGTTCTGGAATTGGCAGGAAACGCCTCGAAGGATCTGAAGGTGAAACGTATCACGCCGCGCCACTTACAGCTCGCCATTCGTGGAGACGAGGAGCTGGACAGCCTGATCAAGGCAACCATTGCCGGCGGCGGTGTGATCCCGCACATACACAAGTCGCTGATCGGAAAGAAGGAGGATACGGTGCAGGACCCGCAGAGGAAGGGCAACGTCATCCTGTCGCAGGCCTACTAAGCCAGCGATCATTCGGACGCCTTCGAAATACGCAAAACTTATGTTTAATTCAGATTTCAGCAGAGACCAGCTAACAAACCGACGAGTTTTAATCATTTCTGTGCGCCAGCACATACTTCTTATATACAACGTAATACATAACTATGTAATTCTAGCATCTCCCAACACTCACAAGCATACAACATACAAAACAAAAAACAAACACAAAACGTATTTTCCCGCACGCATTCTTGGCGAGGTTGAGTATGAAACAAAAAGAACTTAATTTAGAGCAAGTAATTACACGAATAAATTTAATAAAAATTATAATAAAAACGCCAATCCTGTTATTTCGAAAAATCCGGTCGAGATGTTTGCAAACGTGGCAATGAATGTAAAGTATTTAAACTAGATTGTAATATATTCAAGTTGTAAAATGGACGTTTTTAATGTGAAAAGTACAGTCTAATTCCGATGTCGCGAGGATATTAAGTTTTATTAATCGCATTTATCTCAAAACAAAATACAATTTTCTATATTTGTGAACCCAATAAAAATAATTTAGTCCACTGCGAAGAGGATTTAATTTAAAAAGTAGATTGTAGAAATATCATTGGTAGAAAAATTAATCAAGAAACTTGAATTACATGCAGTTAATATCAAGAGTTTTTCGTTTATTTTCACTGAACAAGCACTTAGGAAAAATGTTGAAATTTTTTAATTAAGGAAGCAAATAGTAACTAATGCTCTCCGCAAGAGTAATGAGGGGAAACTGGGGCTTAGTGTTAACCCAGGAGGTGAGGCTGAGCCCTCTGGACATCGTCGCAACGCTCCTTGAGATCCTCGGGGTCCAGCTCCAGGCAGGCGCCCCACTCGATCAGGGTGATGCGATGGTCGTTGTTGGAGTCGCAGGACTCCAGGAAGGGGGCGATGCAGTGCTCGAGGCTGACCAGCGGAGCACGGATGGGGAAGAGCTCGTGCCGGGAGACGGAGCGATCGGTGTCGCCGTCCAGATCGCACCACTTCCAAACCGCGGCGTTGGACCAGCGACGCGAGTTGTTGGTCTCGGCCTCCAGCTCCATCTGCATGTAGTGCTCGGTCAGCTCATCGCGCTCGGCCAGATCGCGCATCACGTTGAACAGCCAGTCGCGCATGCGCCTGGGGAAGTCCTTCAGGTCCTCGCCCTCGCACTTCCTCGGCTCGTGGCAGGCTCCGTAGTAATCGATGTGCATGTGGGCGTTGTCCGGATTGGTGCAGCCCGCCTCTCCGCTGTCGCACCAGCAGCGCTGCTGGTAAACGGAGCAATCCGACGGCCAGGTCTCGTTCGTGTTGGTGCACACCAGTCGGCGGGTGTCCAGCTCCTCCGGGCACTCTGGAATGCACACGCACTGGGGCTTCTCGCCGATCATCTGGCAAATGCGACCGGCTCCGCAGGGCATAGTCTCACAGAGATCCACCTCAACGACGGGGTTAAGCAGGTTGTGCTGGACCTCGGCCAACTTGCTGACCAACTCGTTCTCCCGCTCCACATCCTTGATCTGCAAATTGGATATAGCTTTTGAAATTTAAATGATCATTTTAACCAAGGGCCACCCACCTTGGCCTTCTCTTCGAGCAGACGCAGGAACTCCTCCTCGTTCTCATCGATTTCGGACAGGTCGAGGTCCGCCAGTTCATCCTCAACCTCCGAGGAGGCCTGGACCTGGCTGAAAACCAGAAGCCCCAAGCCGAGCAGCAGCCAGAGGGAGCGCATCCTGTGTGTCGGTCTCAACTATAGATTTTTGAATTGTTTTGTAATCAGGTAGCTCAATTAAAACTTTTATTAAAAGTTAAAAAACAGATATTTTATCTATATAAAAACTGAATCCTTTTCATCCTTTAACTGAATTTCAAACCTATTGAAACAAAATAAAATTTGAGCCAAAATATTTGCTGATATTCAACAAATTTAAAATCTATTTTTATAAAGGTCATGAAAATAGATTAGGTAACGAAATGAAAACATTTTAAGATAAGCTTTGGCCTTGGCCCACAAGAGTGTTTTTGACTGTACCGGAAACTCTACTGTACCCCAAGGAAATTCAACGGTCGCCTTGTAACTCACCCTCGAGGGGTGGTTTTTACATCCCGATGGGCGATGTGAACGCGGCGTCTTTTTCTGATTGAAAACAATTAAGAAGCCGCAAAATCTTGCTGCAGGGTTCAAAAGGTCAACGCAAATGTATCGCGCAGATACAGATGCAGAAGTTCCCCTTTTATGAGGAAATTAATTTATGGATCTGGGCCAAGCGCTTCGAAAACAATGCAAACTTATTGTGGACAGGCAATGGAGCGAACGAAAGATGTTTATTACAGATCGAGGAGTTTTTAAATAGAATGGAAGCGGCGATAGAAAAGTGGTCAGGTAAGGGATAAAATCTCAGAATTCCACCTTTGCTTGCTGCAAATAGTTTTCTCACTTATTGCAACCGCAAAGGAATGTATACATTATTCGAAATGGAAGTTTGAGGCATGTTGAACACATGTTTTGCAGTTCAAAGCTTTTTTAAATTTGGTTTATGAAATCATCGACACTGCAAAAGTTGATATAGTATGTGGACACTTTTAGGTAGCATTTCTAGCCCTGATTAAAGCTGACCTTAATGCCATTAATACAGACTCAATTCAAACCGAATTTACATAGTCTCTCCATAATCAGTTAAAGACGTCGCCCTAGTTCTATGTTTCTATTTGGTACATGTGCTGCTATATGGCACATCAAATTGCCCAACGACACATTCGGCTTATCGCAACAGGCCCGACTTGGCCTCACCGCCTCTTATCAGGATCGGCGGCTTCCGTTTTGGGGACCAAGATGTGCTTAATCGTCGCTTTTGTGTCGCTAAATATCAAGTGAAGTGCGCAGCTCTGTATCTTGCAATTGAGAAGTGTATATACGATCTCGCGGTGGCTTCCAGGAATATCCGAGTTGGATGCTGTTGCAGTGCATTCCAGTTGTATATGTGCACCACATATATATGCTGCAGTTTAATTATACCGACAAAACTAGAAACAATGACGTGATGCAGCGTCCAAGATGCAATGTTTATGTTCCAGGGGCCAATGAATCGTGGGGGAAATGAGGCCTCCGCAAAAACGATTTAGTTGAATTTGCGGAACTGCAATTCGTTAACGACGACGATGATCACACTTTTAGTCGGGCACATTTGACCTTGCAAAATACTTAACTAACTTTGATTTGAGCTTGTCTATGGCTGGTTAAAAACTCTCTAAGTGCCAGCAAATTAATTGGCGAATTTCAACAAAAATCAAATTCAATTGATTCCGTAACGATCGATGACTGTTTGCCAATATCAAAGAACATTGAACTTGAAGAACCGGGCAGAAGCTGAACTTGCAGAAATTTGAGAAACAACCGAAGTATCTGTTTTCGAAAACCTTATGACACACACTTGTTTTTAGTCCGATTTCCACACTCAATCCTTTGTTTGACTAATTAATACTCACTGTATGTGTGAAAATAGTGCTTCCTTTCAAATGTCTAAGCGCGTTGGCGGATGTCGACTGACTGTTTGCCTTTGGAAAAGCTTCCGAACGATTACGGATCGCTAAACTGGAGCATTACCCATGTTTTGGGGTCGCCTCCGACATGTTGGCTCCCAACATGTTCGCTTTGAATAAAAACACAGATTGCCTTCATTTCTGTAGTTCTCTTTATTGGTAATACTTTTCGAATTTAAATAAAATCAAAAGATGTGTTGTACATACCTCAAAATTGGACTACATTCGGGACCCTTGTTTCTGGTCACTCCGGCGTGGCTCACGTTTTTGGAAAAGAAATATGGTGTTTGCTTTAGAAGAACTCAATAAATTTGGTGGTGACATGCTACATATAAAGCAGGAACTTAAGCGCACTTATAGAAACTAGTGTATCCTAGGATCCGTCACTAACTTACCTTATTATTAAAGCCTGTCTCAAGCTTGCTTTTAATACGAGTAGAGTATATCTAAAATTAGTTTGAAAGTGTTTGTACCTAGAATTGTATAAAGTTAACTAAATCTTGATGTAAATAGATTAATTTATCGCTACTTAGACTGCGACCAAGAAGAAATGAGACTTACATATCGGCAGCTAAAACAAATACATAGTGTTGTTTTTAAGTTTTATTTATTTAAAATAAATATGGATTTTCATATAGTTCGGTTAAGTGATTAGTGTTGTTGTTTTTCGTAAACGTAGCAGAGGAGCTCTAAATGAAGCTGGCAAATTATTGACTGAGCCCTTCCTTATCTCAATACATAATTAATTGCATTTAATTTATAGATCAAAGCCTTTGGCGTGCGCTTCAGAACGAAAGCTTATATATAGCAGATAGAGGAGGATGAGTCGTACATCTAGATAATCTGAAGGTTTAAACTTAACTTAGAGTTCGTGTCATGGCTCGAAATCAAATACATATTTCTTAGCAATCTTTTGTAGCATATTGTATATTATACTTTTTCAAGTTTGTCATACATGTAAAATGAAGAGAAAGATTAAATAAACATCGTGGGAGACTAGAGAAGAAACCTTTAACATCTTTACAGAATCATGTCTTGTATTTGACCGTCCGTTTCGCTCCTTATAAAAATTGACAATAGTTTTGATATCAACTCTTGTGTACATTGATAGTTAAGGCCACGCACCCGTGCCACGCCCGCCAGCTAGGCGTTTGATTTGATTTCTGATCCGAACTCCACTTCGGTCTCTTGTGATTTCGCATTTTTGCATTTCTCTTATTTTGGACGTATATCTTATTTGAATGGTTTAGGTAATACATAGGTATCTACGATTAAGCTATTTGTTTTGGGCCAATAAGCTCAGGCTGCTACAGCTGCGTAATTTGTATCTAATAGTTAATTGAGTTATTGCTTGCAATTGTCCTTCCACCTTTGTTTCAAACCAACGCGCGTCGCACGGTCGCTTGCTTCGTTTTACAGAGAGATAGTTGGATTCGAATAGAGAGCTTTATGTTATATCGTATTTTGGGCATAGTCTACGATTCAGGGGTTACAAAAAGGCGTCTGAAGTAAATCGAAACGGGGGAGAGCTCGCTCCCCCCAATACGGTGTAAAAAATATTTATACATAGTCTGTGGCATAGCTTAGGTCGATCGTAGAGTTATCAATGGTATAGCTTAAGAGTAGAGTAAAACCGTAGTTAGTTGTCCTATGATAGAGAGACAATGCGTTATTTTTCCTGTTAGTAACTCTAAGCGAGTGTGGCCTAGCTTATCAACGAGCCTATTTAACAGTATCTTGATTCTTGAGCTTTAGCCGCCCAAAGAGCATCTAAATCAGAGAGAATTATACACATTAGTAATAATACATTATGGTGGACTACAGACGCACTGCGTCTGGGTGGCAAGACGTATTGGGGTATCTCTTATGCATAGGCCACATTTAAAACGAATGACTAATTGCGGGGACGGGTAACGATCGCACCATCTACTCACCATATTCAGCGGCGGTACTTGCTATTGGCACTGCCACCGGTGGCCACCGATCCGTTGGACACGCCCACCGCCTTAGTTCCAGTCGCGGGCGGAGCGCTTCCATTGGGCGGCGGAGCACCGGCGTTGTAGGGCGGGTATGCAGGTGGTTGTGGGTTATCTATAAAGGAAAGTGATTAGGGAACGCGGTTCACTTCTGCCGGATTACACCTACGGTAATTGTTGGGCGGCGCTGCCGCATAGGGATTCATTCGGTTGGCGTTCATGTTGTTGTGCTTGGCTGGACCGCCTCCGTAGTTTTGCTGATAGCCGCTGCCAAAGTTCGGCGGCGGTGGCTGTTGCTGCTGCGGCGGAGGCTGCTGGTGTGGCGGCGGCCCCTGCGGCGGTGGTGCACCTGGCACCGGCGGCGGTGCGTTGGGCGGCATGTTCCAATTGCCAGGAGCCGGCGGTGGCGGTCCGTTGTGGCCCATTGGTGGTGGCACTGCCCCAGCAGGAGGGACCTGTTGCACTGGCGGCGGACATCCCCACTGGCCGGGGTGCCACTGCTGGGCACCGGGTGGCGGCGGAGGAGGTGCATTCCAACCGTTCTGTACTGGCGGATAGGGACCCCAGGCGTTCATCTGCGGTGGTGGGGGCTGTTGGTAGTAGGGCTGCATTGGCGGTGGTGGGGGTCCCCAGTAGTTGTAGTTTGGTGGTGGGGCGTTCATGGGTGGCGGTGGCGGCTGCTGGTGGTAGGGAGGCATGACCTGGGGCGGCGGCACAGGTGGACGGTAGCCCGGAACCGGAATGTTGCCATTATGCGGCTGCTGCTGCTGCTGTGGTGGAGGAGGTTGTTGCTGCTGCTGTTGCTGATTTAGCGGCTGCTTGGTCCCGTTTGCCAAGGCTCCCGGCTGCTGCTTGTCCTTCTTCTCTAGATTGTAGATGGACTTTTTCACATCCACGTGCACATACTTAATCGAATGCTGCTTTTGAACTGCAAAAAGTAAAATAGAAGCGTAAAACATGGGAAATTCAGGTATTCTTCTCTATAATCATCTTCTTAACGGAAATAATTATTAGATTCAAGTACTAAAGAGACTTTTAAAACCCCTCTAGAAAGGAGTTCAAGATCTATACTTACGAATGGCCTTATCCACGGCATCGTAGTCGTCAAACTCGATAAAGGCGAAACCACGACGCTTTCCTGTGGTTTTGTCTGTGAGTAATTTAACAGAGATCACTCGCCCGAACTGAACAAAATACTCCCGCAGGCAATCCTCATCGTGGTTGTCCTTAAGACCACCTACGAACAGCTTCTTGACGGATATGTTGGTCTCCCGCGATTCGCGTTCAGGGCGCGGCAGTGCCCTCTTAGCTTCCACAGTTCTGAAAAAAAGGGTTTTACTTCGAAATCCAACAAGGTAATATTGTCCATGGAAAAACTTACTTGCCGTCGATAATGTGCGGCCGGTTCTCTTGGGCCCTGTCCACCATGACGGACTTTGTGTAGGTAATGAAGCCGAAGCCACGGGATCTTTTCGTGGCCGCATCGCGCATCACAACCACATCGACCACCTTGCCCCACTGGCCATAAAAAACTTTTAGGCCCTCCTCGGTGGTGTACGGGGCCAATCCGCCAATGAACAGCTTACGCAAGTGCTCTAGCTCGCATATGTCCTGCCGGAAGGGAAAGGAGGGGAGTTAGTTGCCAAGTGGGCGGTAGGTTGGGTGGTATGTACACTGGAGGACGCATTTAAATGCGTCACTCACCGACCCGCATACATATGAAAGCACACGGCCATATACGTGTAAGCCACTTTAATAAAACAACACTTACATCATCCTCGCGGTCAGGTATAACAACTACTTCCTGGTTGTCCTCCGGCGGAACCTCTTCCTTCACGTGCCCCGAACTAGCCATGATTTAGCTCACGATTTAACCAAATTAACAAACAGAAAACCGAATTGCAGGTTGTAGGGCGAAGCGAAGAAGAACAAAATTGAGATGTGTCAAAGCCAACAAGAAAACCGATAACACATCGATATTTTTTGGCCAACAATTTTTCTGCTTATAATGGGTATTCATGTTACAGGGTGGTTTGAAGTTCATCAATCAGTCGTTATAAATATTCTTAGCTAAGAGGACTTTAGATTTGGAAAAATGTAATTTTTTAATTCCTGTTTAGTAATTTTCGAATCGGGCTAAAATTGGATGAGTTATGGCTTTTGAAATCGGACAAAAATTGGATGAGTTATGGCTTTTGGAAGGACAACATTGGGTCACAATAGTAAAAACAATAGGAATCTTGGAAAATTCTGACATGAACAGGTGTCAAAATACCGACCATCTCCAAAATGAAAAAATTAAACGCAAATGTTTTTGTAATTTCACCAAAGGTCTTAAGAGATATGCCACTTTGGAATCGGCCTTAAATTGAATGAGTTATGGCTTTTGGAAGGACAGAATAAGGCAATAACTTGGAAAATTCTGACATGAACATGGGTCAATATATCGACCATCACCCAAATTAAAAACTTAAGCCCAGTTGGTATTTTAATTCTGTCACAAATATTAAGAAGTATTCCACTTTGGAATCGAAAGTGGCAGTAGAAAGCAGTATTGGATGCCATTCTACAAACCAACGAAAACTTGGAAAAGTCGGCCGTGAATAGGTTTGTTTGACGAAAAATCTTGAAAAAAAGTGCATACTAGTATCTTGTAATTCTTTGGCTGTCAACTGTCTAAACTTTGGCTGTCAACTGTCTAAACTTTGGCTCTCAACTGAAAAACTCCTTGAATCGATATTTTCCCACCTCTAATTCTAAATCTGTAAAGCTGGTATGAAAAATATTCAAGTCATCCTAAGAAAAAAATAAGAAAATAATGATTAAGTTGTAGATGGCCTCCGCAGAAAACACGCCGCATGAAGAACGGCGAATATGCGGGTTGGGTAACCATACGCTAAAGACCCCATACCGCATAATCAGGAACCCGTACTTACTTAAATTTGGCAGAATGATAAACTCCGAGCTCCAATCGCAACCATTGTGCCTGAATTGCTACAATCAACTCCTGAGGATGTACAACATCAAGAACAACAATGCCAGGAGACACCAGGCGGCAAGAGCGGCGCACATTACATCGGACTCTACAGTTGGTAGCGTTCAAATAAGCGACGAGTCCGCAAGAGAATCTACTTCTAACGGACCAGCGATGGCGAACGCTTCTACAGTGAGTAGCATTCAGATGAGTGGCGAGTCCGCAAGAGAATCTACTTCTAACGGACCAGCGATGGCGAACGCTTCTACAGTGAGTAGCATTCAGATGAGTGGCGAGTCCGCAGGAGCATCCTCTTCCGATGGACCCACCACAAGCGCAGCCGCGGCGGCCAGAAGGGCAAGAAGGGCTTTGCTAGCACAGCAGTCTTCGGATAGATTAGTTTCCGATGATGAAGATGCCAATTCCAATTTGAGCTTAAACGCAGTGAATGGTGCCCGATTGCCACATATCCAGCCAATTCCACGAAGACGCTCTTTCGTTCACCTCAACAAGGAAGCCATGGACATTTATCTGGCGGGAACCACTGGAGGGTAACATGGATATTTCCTATGTAAAAGATATTAACATCATTTGCGATATTTTTTTAATGAATCTCCTAATGTGTTTATACAACAAATTTGTACAAACACATCTAAGCAATACATTTGGGTATTGAATGAATAAAAAGATTTACTGTTATTCGTAAAGGCAAAAGAAAAATCAAATAGCTCTTCAACAGTTCTTATAGCCTCTGCAGATTTTTGGATCTATGCTCGCAATAGGTTTTATGAAGCATAAATTAACAAATTTAATATTCATTTAAAAAAAAAAAAAAAAAATTTAATTAAAAAAAACAAGTTTCCTTGTTTATCGATAGTTCTATCGTTACTTACGGCAGCAACAGCTGTTTGCCCACCAGGGCTGAGTTATTGTTTGTTCGTTTCGCTGTTTTTCTTTTTTAACGACTTTGTTGTCTTCCTTTTTCTCTTATATAAACAAATTAAATGCTGTCCTGTAAAGTGTAAATTATTTCTAACCGTTTTCGCGCAGAAAGTGAGTGCTTGCAGGAAAAACTCCAGTGCCCTTTTTTTTACAGTTATATATTTACTACTACTTAGGCTTAGGCTAAACATTTTAAAGCTCAATTAAATGTAATCAGTTAGTAATAATGATAATTGCTAGCATGAATTAATAAGCGTCGCTGTTGCTCGACGTCGTTGTTGTTGTTGCTGTTGCTGCTGCTGCATTTGTTGTTGCTCGAACTGGTCATCGATGTCGATAAAATTAGCATCCTGCGTGTTATCCTTGGGCAGCGCTGGCGGCGTCGCAGCCGCGGCATAGTAACCAAGGCCCACGCCCACTCCGACCGCAACGCCCCCGCCAACGCCTCCGGGGGGCATGGTCGTGGTCGTTTGACCCATTATAGAGCTCATAAAACCATTGGCCACGACAAAGTTTCTGAAAAATTGATTACATCAAAATAGTTTCGAGCAAAACTCCTGCCCCAGGACAACCCCCTCAGAAAGGTATCGTCTAATTGGGTCTGTGTGCGCATAAATGTCGTAAAATTAATTTCGTGTTAATTTTATGTTGGCCATCAATTAAACTTCTGACATTTCCTTAAATTACTTCCGTTTCGAAAATAGACACAAAACTATCAAGTAAAATCCTCTTCACGAGCTATTCATCAAAAGGTTATTAAAGTTTCATATTTAAAAGGGATCATAACAAAAACAAATCAAAGGCAAACACACAAATTTTAGTCCTTCTTAACTGTATAAAAATCAATATAGTAACCCACCTATAGTGCTGATCGATCTGAGCCTTTTCTATCCGCTTGTCTTTGGCCCTGCGGTTCTGGAACCAAATCTTGATTTGCGTTTCCGTCAGGCGAAGGGTCTCGGCCAGTTCGAACCGACGGCTCCTGGAGATGTACTCGTTCCGATGGAACTCCACCTCCAGGCGAAGGGTTTGCTCCGTGCTAAAAGTGGTCCTCTGGCGGCGTTGTCTTCCCTCTTTGCGGCGCCTCCGAGCCACTAAATAAGATTCACAAACAATAAAATAATTACTAAATTTTAGATAACAGATAAATCAGCACAGGAAACCATAAAACAAGAAGTTTTCCCATTCAAAGCGACACTACACCCCTCAGATAGTATCATATTTTCACAGTCTGCTTATTACACCACCCACCAAACTCTACTCTGCCCTTATTCGTTTCAAATACAATAGAGATGTTAGAGCGAAATTAATCTTACATTAACAAACCATCAAGTTATAAGCGCGGCTAAACGATTCCGAATGTGGTTGCGTGTCGAGCCAGTTAACCCAACAAATAATTAACCACTCTGATATCTGTAGACCTTGTTTGTTATTTCCCCCACCTGCTCCGTTTCGTGGCTCGCGTTTGTGGTGCACATTAGAAATGCATTTTCCACGTTGTCCCTGGCTCAAGTGTGTTTTTTATATTTATTTCGGCAATCTATGCTGATCCGGGAAAGTTTTAACAATGCCAACAGCTGGCTGGCCATCATCATCATCATCATCATCCTCTTCTCGCATTCGAATTTTTTGCTCCACCGTTGGTTTGTTTGTTTGCATTCGCAGTGTCGCCGACGATGAAGTTCAACCAAGCGCACATTATGCCCCACTACCCCCTGAGTAACCGCCCACCTGCCACCCATCTTCACCCACCTTCACCCACTCCATTGTGAGTGGTGCGGTTTAGAGTCTAATTGATGTAACAAGGACAAGCTGACAAGTTGTTCGGTTTTCGCGGGTGGGGTTTTCCCGGGAAGGGGTTGCTTTGTGGGCGTTGTAATCTCTAGTTTTTGCTTGATTACCCCTTGCCAGAATAACTCGAGGCGGTCTTAAGCTCTTCCCTGATCCTTTCTTTCCCTCTTTCCTCCTAAAATTTTTTAAATCACGTGTGAAACTCGATAGCCAAGTGTCCTTTGCCCAGTTTGTTGTGGCTGCTATGAGTCTCCCTCTGTCTGTTTCTCGTTTAACCCTCTTTGCTTTCTGTTTGTGTTTGCTTTTTTAGGTTTCCTGCCAAGCTCAATTACAATGCTATTTTTTTTAGTTTCTTATGATTTTTTTTTAAGATTTTACAAAGTTTTATTGTTAAAGTTTGGGCAAAGAAGGTGGTAATAGTATGGTGGTAATACTAATGTCAGAATTATTTGTTTTCATGCCGATTTTCCTTTCTCCAGTATTACATTTTTGATTACAAACCAGTATGCCCAGCATACCATCGATGTTTCATTATGAAAATGTTTAATTTCGCACTTATCAATTGCTTCACTTATTCGCCCTTAACCTGCGATCATTTTCATTAGCCAACGCATTTCAATTTTTTTTTTTGGGTATCCCCACCTCACCTCCACACCTGGCAACCTCATCAGCCGCAAACGAAAATGCCGCAAGTAAACGAAAACTTTCACGGCTCAATGCGTTTTAATTTTTTCTTGGCATTCGGTTTTTTCCTTGGCTAATTTCTTTGCATTGGGGGTCAGCAGCAGAAGCAGCAGCAGCTCATTGTGTGGCATTGCCCCGCCTTCGGTTTGTTTATTTTTTCCTGACTGATTTTACATAATCCTTGCCTGCCTGCACTCAGTGCGGGGATATTCAATAGCACTTGCACTTAATCAGCTTTTTTTCTGTATCCGATTTTTTGCAGTTCCTGCGGAACTAACTTCATCTGGGGCTGCACCTGCGCAGGCGTGTGAAATGTTCATCACTTCCTCTGAGCCTTTTCTATCGTAACTTTCGAACTCTTTCAGAGATCGGGTGGGAAATGTTAGCTCCCCTGGGCTTCAGCTGTCCCCGCTGTCTGCTCCTGAGGCGAGGAGCCGAGCGGTGGGCCTCCTTGGCCCGCCTTTTGTCGGGCAGCAGCTCCCAGGTCACCAGCGACTCAAAGGATGCCACCAAGGACACGGCAACCAAAAGCACAACTACGGTCAAGGAGACTACAGCCAAAGTTAAAAGCTCCAAGGGGAGAAAGAGACTCAGGGACATAGAGGTAATATTAGATAACTAGATTGAAATTTGTATTTGTATGATAAGATATAAATAAATTAAAATAAGTTCTTTAACTATCAATTTTTGTTAAACAAAAAAATTTAAAGAATGGCTCTTTTGTCTCACAAGAACAACCACCAAATCTTTAAATACAATTTCTTTAAAGAACAAAACCAACTTAATATCTCTCTTGAAACGACTTTTCTTCAGAAATTATATTTGGTAAGCTCAAAACGCTTTCTTTCACAGCTTCCTCCAGAGCCCACCACCTGCTGCATGTCGGGATGTGCCAACTGCGTCTGGCTGGACTACGCCCAAACCCTGGCCAAGCTGCTAGGCGACAACGACGAGGAGGCACGCGAGATCGTCCTGAGCAAGATCACCGACCCGAACCTGAAGATGTTCCTCAGTCTGGAGCTTCGCCAGATGGCTCGCCAGCGGGAGGAGAAGGCAGCGGCGGAGAAAGCAAAGACCCCTCCCAAAAAGTAGTACAAACATCTTTTCCCAACCATCTAAATTTCTATAATAGTTAGGACCAAATTCGTAGTAGCTCAAATTTACTCTTGTACTAAGTCTAAGAACTGAAAAACCTCACAATAAATACCTAAGAGTTCGGAATATAAAAAAAGATGTTTGCTGGAGTGTTGTTTTAGTTACAGTTTAAAAACACTCAGTTGTCTAAATTGGAGAGTAGTATTACCAATGCATATTAACAGAAAAGCATTATATTGTGAAGAACGGCATTATGTTTTAATTAACAACTGTCAAAGCCGTTTAACACTTGAAATGCTTAGCAATAAACTTAATCTCATTTTAAAATGAGTTACTAACTAATAATCATGGATCCCAATTACCAACTTCATAACTTTTACTCACAGAATGCAGTAAATCCGGCGCTGAAGTGCGGATCACTGGGAAACCCGGGCGGAAATCCGTGTGGCAGGCCGGGATTCGCGGTTACTCCGGGATTAATCACTGGCGGCGGAGTCACGTAGCTGAGCTTCTGATGAACTGGCAATTGCTGCGGATGATGATTAGGATGAGGATGATGGAGCTGCTGCGTGGAATGCCGGGGGTAATCCTTGGACTGGCCGTAGAAGTCGTAGGCAGAAAATCCGGGGAGGGAGGAGCGTTCGTCGCTGATGGAGATGTCCGGCGAGGAGACGCTTCCGCCGTCGCTGTGATAGGGCGTTTCGCAGGGGGGCGGCTTGTGGGCGTGGGTTCCCACGTCGATGTCCCCGTTTTCCGAGCTACGCGTTTCCAAATGTCCGTAGAGTCTTTCGAAAAACTGACGCGGCGACGACGGACGTTGCGGTACGGTTATGTTCGTGGTGCTCGATAGCGGATTATTACTGTCGCTTCCTTCGATGGCTGGCGAGCCATCGGGTGACCCAATCTCCACTTTTTGGCGTTGCATTTGACGAGGGAATTGCCGCGGAGCTGTCCAAACTAATCACTTGGGTAATCGGCGAGCGACTGAAGTGTCGGATATTTTAGCCACTTCCGCTGGTCAAGCGACGCTTATCCTGACGCCGACTCGAGCAGAGGAACTGGAAAGAAACAAAGCAAATTACGCGGCACATCAAAAAATTAACGACAGCAGCGGGGGCGCCTAAAATGCTGCTTAATAATACGAAAAAAATATCCCCCTCCCCAAAAAACACCTGAAGTCTGGCTTGAGTTCGCTTTGATTGGTCGAAGTACTGTGAAATTAACCCCTAAATTTACTTCCGGCTGAACGTCCGTTAAGGGTGGCAAGCAGGCTAATTCGAACAAGCTCCGCCTTCTTTTCAGGGGACTTTTCAGCAAGTAGTTTGCAGGATTTCGGCTTAAGCAGTTCAAGCAGGGAATGTTAGTAGCCCTGGCGATGTTATGACATAACGTTAGGATAACATTTATCAGAGGCATCAACCCGGGTTGATGGAAAAACATCGGCAACCGGACAAGATCTTGTAGTCGGTGTTGCGGCACAATATCGATGTATCAAACAATTTCATAACATATTGGTTTGTTTTGCAGCTCCATGAATTTTGGATAATCATTTAGAAAAACGTCGTGTTTGTTTAACCGTTTGAAAAAACGTTGATTATTCGCTGTCCAAGTGCCTGGAAAAAGCGGCCTCCAGCGGACCAAAAACAAAACAGCCAATTCGTTGAGGTTTAGGTCTTGGGTTTTCAACGAGTAGTCTCGCTACCCTCTACCTATTCTTCCATGGGTTTTTGAATCTCTCTCACTGTATTTTGAATTTGAATCGAAGGCGGACGTGTCGGTGCCGCTATGGATTATGTGTTTGCGGTGTTTCGGTACGAAAGCATGTGTCTTAGCGAATGCAGATCAATGATTCGATAGTGCCGTTGTTGGATCGAAAAGTAAATCAAAACATTTAAAACGTTCGATTTCGGTTATTTCTGAGCCGTCGCAGCTGCGCATTCGATTCGCAAGTACCGTTAGTTCGCGCAGATGTCGCAGCCTCCAAAAGTGCCAATAAAGAATAATAACAAACAAAGACAAACAAGTGGTTCAAAAAAGGTACGAGTAAATGGAACATCCCTTCGATTTTGGCCAATATCGACTTTGTTTGTCGTAGCCCCAAATTAAAGCAAACAGCAACGGGCAAAATCAGGCCGTTGCAAACATTGCACTGGCTTTTGTTTGTTATTCTCCGCCCCGATATTAATTGAATGGCTTTTATTAAGCCCCAGTGAGTGTGTCTGTGTATTTTTGTTAAGGCTTAATGTTTGTGCAATGCAAAAATATTTTGTTAAAACTCGTTTCGTTTAAAGCTTATTTGGCTTAGGTTCGCGAGTGTGTGATTTTGAGTCTCAGTCTTTTTACCATCCATCAATTTCGGTTTTTGTTACACTGACATATGCAATTTTTTGGCCACTTTTTGTGGTTTTTATTTCTTGAGCTCAATTTAAAAATATCTTCTGGATACACAGAAAAATAAAATAATATATCTTGATGTGAAGGGAGGTTTGAAAAGAAGTAGAAAATGACATATTTGGAAGAAACATTTAAAAGAATGTTTAATCAAGACTGTACAAATTAATTTCACAATGTAAAGTAAACATCGTTTTCAAATTTTTTGTTATGTGTATGCCTCGCCGAACGAAGTTTAATAATTCAGAAAACCCACATGTTATTTCATTCTGTTGTCATCCAAAAAAAAAAACAAAAACATCAGCCTTTCCATTGACATTTATGAGCGGCGCTAAGGGTGCATCTTGCTCTCTCGCTCGCACACAGGAACTTCCTCTCCTCTCTCCGTCCCTCTTGCGCATTCAGAGGCGTGGGAGGAGGCATTTTCAGGGGCCTTATTGTGGGATTTCTTTTGATTCCCTAATTCCCACCGCGGAATTTCTCGTGGGCTCGTTTGCATTATCCTGCGCATGCGCAGCAGATTATGGGAAAATCGTTATGGAAATGAACGCGGAATTTTTTGATTGATAGAAATGTCGCGTACTTACCAATTATCAACATAACAACCGGTAACAGCTGTTGGCAATGTGTGTTGCCATGTTCCGTTATAAATGCGAGTGAGGAATAGTAATGAAAAGGCAGCAAACATAATAGTGACGAAACTCTATAAACCAAGATAACTGTACTTGGTTAAGATTATATTAAATCTTTCTTTATGAAATGATCCCCAATATATATATAATATCCCATTTCCAATCAGTTATATGGTCTTTCCATCGCTTCCAAAAGCGATTTGCATGCATATGTGAACTTCTGATTCACACCGAACTAATCTTTATGTCTCTTATCTTTGCAGTGCCAAAACGTCTGACACACTTTAGTGACTTGGACAGACGATCGTTTCACTAATTGCTGACACACATAATTTCCCTAACTGGCGAAAAAAAAGGAGAGCAAATGTCGAGCGCAAATTGAATTTACGGTGGTGCCCCATCAAAGTCAAGTCGGCCGACTCTAACTAATTTAATGATCAAAAGTAACACATTTTTTTCGCATTCGGCGGCAGCCGCTGAGCGGTGTTAATTGAAAGTGTCACGCGTCGTCTAAATAATAATCTCCAATCGACTGGTTTCGTCTATGTGAGTGCTTGTAGTGAGTGATGACATTAATTGGGTCAGGACGATTGGCCAAAAGCGGCGGATCCGCCATGTCCTGGCTAGTTCTAGTGATAACCCTGGGGGCGGCACAGGCTGCCACGCCCTTCGCGAAGGAGTACCGCAGTGCGGGACTCTACAATGGAAACACCCTCGTCGATCTGGACGGATCCACCACCCTGGACTTGGGTCTCGAAAAGCCCACCAGCAGCAGCGGACTCAGCGGAGGATTCAAGTCCGAGTCGTCGGTCGTTCTGCCGGGAATGCATCAAAATTCAGGTACTACAAATATTACATATATGTATATTTAATTTTGAATTTAAAAAATCGAAATTAGGACTTTTTTTGGTATACATTGCTATTTGTTATATCTTGAACTATGTTTCATCGACTGTTAAATGTATTCTAACCCTTTTATTCTAAGGGGGGCTTTTAAAAATGTTTTCCCTTGGTTTTAAGGTAATCTGCATATTAGCATCAACTTCACTTAGTGGAACAAGTGGGGTTATCATTTGAGTTCTTCCCAGAATTATATGGATACAACCTTCATTCATGTTCGCCTTATCGAGCCGAAAAAGAACCAAACAAAAAATGCTTGTGCTCCAGTGAGGGAAGAAGGAAGTGTTCACTGCAGGTATACAAGTATTGAAGTATTCATATGTGCCGGCGCTTATCTAACCTTATCTCACAACTCTTTCCTGCGACCCTTTTCTGCCTCCGATCGTGTCTTTGGTTTACTTTGCTATACGACCTGCGCCTCGGCGGCATCATATTTCAGAAACAAGCAGGAAAGCAACAAGAGTGGGGAACAGATTACTCGAACAAGTGTATTTTCTGTCTGCCGCTTGTCTCTCCCTTTTGCATTGTGTCTGCTCTGGTTTGGGACGGTCCTCCCCAGGTTTTTCCCCCGGTAACTCAATCCCGAGAGATGAGTGCTGCCCAGCTGGCAACCAGGATGTCAACCGCAGCTCCCAGACCCAATACCCATTCCCATTCCCATCCTCATCGCGATCCCATCCCATCGCATCCCATCCCAATTGCAATCCCAATCCCATTGCTCGATTCGGGCACGCTCGGCACATCCGCCAAGCAATTTTCCTGCCTCATTATAACGAGACTAAAGCGTAATCACGGGGAGGGAGACAGACGTGTGCTGGAATGGCTCTCCCCGGGGTTTCTTTATAGTTTTAATTTCCATTCCTCATTTTGGGGTTCTTCGATCTTTGCCAAAGTGCGAACTTCCTGTCCAAACTTCGGCGCAGTGAAAGGGATCTCTTGAGTGTCGAGTGTTTGGGCTTGTGTGCGCTTACCTTTCCACGCTGGATCGGTTGTCTTGGTTGTTTTTTTTTTTCGGCCGTCCGAATTCTGTCCCCCGCTTTTGGCTGATTTAAATGTCATTTAAGCCGCTTAACTTGGCCCTCTTGGTACGTTTCTGATTTTCGAGTTTTTACGACAACATTTTTAAGTTTTATGGTAGTCCCATTTTATGAGCGTGAAAATGAAAGTACTTTCGTCAAGTCGCAGTCGCAGTCTCACTCACTGTCTCCTTTCTCTATCCCTATCTCCCTCGGTCGGCCTTTTCTTTTGGAGTTTTGTGGCCCTCAACTTATGACTCGACAGCAATTCCGAGGCCTGGGTAAACTTACGGACGTAAATTTGTGGCTTTCTTAAATGTGTCATAATTAAAAGACAACATTTTCGTGGGCCGATATGCTGGTTGGGACTTTTCCGTAACCCCAACCAAGATTTAGATCAGATTTAGATATGGGCAGTATCTGTGGGTGGGCCACCCTAGGCCTCAAAAGATCAAATTTCCCGAGCTAGAAACCCATTAAGGTTTCACAGTCCATTTCTCGTTTAATAGGCTATTTCCCGGCATTTCCTGGATTCCTGGCGAACTGAATGGGAACCCAAAGACCGTTAAAATAGTTGCACGCCTTGGTGAATAAATGTTGATGCACCATTAATATTGGTTTTTATTTTTTTGCCCCGATCTCTCATTCATTCCGATTCATGGACATCAGCCAAAAAAATATTAAGAGCCTAAGGGGCTACCTGAATGTTCTGTGAACTGAAAGCGTTTTTCTTTTTTTTTCGGGATCCGGGTCCAGCGTAAACATTTCTGCAAAGCACGCAAACTTTGGCCCAGGCCAGGGACCAGTTTTTGGTAGCCGGGTCTTTCCTCGGTCTTGGCTTTGGCTTTGGTGCGGTCTGCTCTTGGTTTCCAAGTTCCCGAGTACAGTACGCAGGCGCAGAGATCTTGGCAGGAGGCTGTTGTCGCTGCCGTTTCTTCGGCTTGGGGTCCCTGGCACTTCAACTCTTCAGCATGTATTTAGATAGGCCAACGTCGAAAGATACAAGCCGCCTGTACCTGTGAGTTCGTGTTGCTGGTTGTGTGTGCGAGAGTGTATACAATTCCGGTCAAATGAATAGTACTTAACCACATTTTTAAAGGTGTAATATAGCTATAAAGTTTAGTTTTGGCTATAAACTATAAAGAGAAATCTTAAGAGGATTAAAATTTTAATTTAAAATTTCTAGCATCATCATAATTTTCGTAAATAAGGTACTTAAATACCTCTGATTTAAGAACATTTTCCAATGCCATTAGTGGTGTTATTTCTGTAACCATAGCTGTATGTGCCTGGGCCAAACAAAGCCAGCCGACAATCGTAAAAACTAAACGACGGGAGAATTTATGAGGCCTCAGCCGGAGTGGAGAGGAGTCGCCTCAGCCAGCGGTATATGTGTGTAGATCAAGTGCCAAAGTCAGAGAACGGGCATTCTTCGAGTTAGATAACAGGGCCCGGGACCCGGCCAGGTTTTGTGTCATGCAAATGCAGATACAGATAAAAACCGAATGCAGTTTTGCAGTAAAAATATATAAATCAAGGCAGCAGGTAGAAGGCAAACGACCCGAGGTCTAGAGTCTAGAATGCGAGGCACAAAGTGCGAAATATCCCACAGAGAAGGGATGCGATGCGATGCACAAGGTGCATCTGTTAGAGGCACTTGCCCTCAGCTTCGGTTCCCCGTGTCCGTCCATCCATCGTTAACGCTGCCACGCTAATTTGACGAAAGCCCATTTCATGGCATTTTTCCAGCACGGCCAGCGATTTCATGCTTCGACCGACCGATCGGGAATTGGGAACTGGGAATCGGACCATCGGTTCGGACTCTCCTCGCTGCATCGTACAGGTAGTTTTTAACACCTGAAAACCCAATCGTTTAGTGCGCGCAAGTGTCTGGTGTCTAGCCTCCTTCCTCCTTCCAAATCGCAGTCCACATGCACATGTACTCCTATATGTATACCTCCCACCTCAGGGGCCTCTTGTTTACACCTTTTGCGAAAAGTCAGGAAAAATGAAACGGTTTCTTCCCATTTTATGGCCCGAACGCCTGAACCTGTTGTTTTCTGTTGTGTTCCCCGGATAACCTGTGCGTTGAACCCTCCTCCTTCCCCCCCTCTGTGTGAGTTTTTTTTTTTGATTTTACCATTGTTTATTTTACCAGTCGTTTGTTGTTGCTATTTATTTGTTTTTAATTTTACATTCAAAAAAGAACAAACGGGTACACGGATAATGGATAATGGTTAATGGGTAAATTGTGCAAGGCGCTGGCTGGAGTAGAGTACATATTCTATTCGATTTGTTTACCGATCGCATAAACTTCTCGGTGCAGTGTGCGCAGCTTCGCCTTCGCTTTCTATATAGGCAAATTTGGTAGATTTTATCTGACAGCATTGTTTGTTGTTTTGGCCACGGGACAAGACAAGCCAACAACTAACAACACAACCGAAGCAAAGTGCAACAATTTTGGGGCCACAAACGAACCACCTACGTTGAATTTAACCCGGCTCCCCCTTCAAATTGCAATGGCAAACAAAAGACAAAACACCGTAAACAGGTGTCTGGCAATGTTTTCCTTTCCGCGCTTTTCTCCCTCTCAGCTCTTTTAATTTGAAAAGTAACCGAAACTGGCGGCATGTGTTTTGGTTTTTGTTTTTGTTTTTTTGGCAGCGGCCAACGCATTTCCTCCCACACATTCACGCAGCTAAATACCAACTTTCGATTAGAAAGAAAGTGCCAAACAAAAAGTGAATGTTACCCAATGAGGGGAAGACAAAAGCGATATTGGAAACGAAACCCGAAAGAGCCATAAAAATATGCCATAAACACAACAAAATCTCAGAAATCAATTGTGATCTATCGCCCGTCTCTTTCTTCGGCGATCAGTCTGTCTCTTTTCCCACAGAATTCCGGCAAAACGCAGTGGAGGCGATACTGGTGACGTAGGCGTTTCGATCCGGCGCCGATCTCTTAAGATCGTGTCGCTCTCAATGCTAATAAGATGTTGTTAGATGCACAGAGACAAAAGTCAAATTTATCTACGGTTTCTATAAAGGTTGAGACGAAATTGTTACTTGTATTTCATATTCTAAACTAATAAAATAATCATTACTTTTACGCAAAACATTAGAAAATATAGTTTCCTAAAGCAAACAACATATTCAGAATTTAATAAAATCAATTTCGCCACTCAATGAAATAGATTTTTTCCGTGTGTGCCTTGCTGGGCTTTCGAGTGTAATTTGATTGTGTCTCTGTTGGTTTATTTGGCTCGCTGATAGCCGGCTGGCTGTTTGCCATAAACATCTCGTAAATTGAAAAGCGAAGTCATTAAATTTGAATCTCGGCGCAGCAGTTGAAGTTCATTTGGAAACTTGACGAGAATGCAGCTGCAGATGCGGGCAGATGCAGAGCATGTGCAGCCGCACAAAAAACCAACGAACTAAACTGAAAATTAACAACATTATTGTGTATTCATTATGCTTCTGACGTCCCACATGCAGCAGTTTGTCTAATTGAAATAGAAATCTCTGGGTCTCCAGCAGTTGCACAGATGTTTTATTTCAAGTTTTCTTCTGTTTTTTTTTTTTTTTTTGACTTATGTTCTGGCTCTGGCTCCTTTTTCCCTCTTTCACTTGACATTTGAACTTCGGCGTGCAACCGCAACGTTCGAGTTGCATAAATAACTTTTGTTCCAGCGAACACATAGCTTTTTGTCTTCTGCTGGCGTGTTTGTTTGTTTTTGGCTTTTTCCTTTTTCGACTTCTTATACAATGACCTAGAAATTTGGCTTTCTTTTTTTGGCCTTTGTATTCACAAGCTGAAGAAGCCCCATAAATTAATGGTACAAGCTGAAGATATGGCTAAATGTACAAACAACGACATTGCTTTATGATGCTACCCAAAAGAAAGGTAGTAAGTTAGCATAAG